TGAAAGGATAGGTTCCTAGAAGATTTTTCTGGGCCTCACCAAACTGTGGTAGAAATGTGGTCACATTAAGTATCACTGACTTCTTGCAAAATGCCCCTGATGCTTCACCAGGAGTCTTGGCCTCATAAAACCCAACAGAAAGTGCCCCCTTCCTCATTCAGAAGACCTCAGTGTCCCTTTGCCGTGTCTCAGCTGTGTGGCCTCGGGTAAGTTACCTCCCTCTCTGAGCCTCAATATCAACTTTCAGGGTTGAGCGGGGATTAAAAGCAAATGTCAGCCAAGGGTTTGGCTGGGTTTATGGTGTGGATTAAGCCCTTCAAAGATGGTGGCTGTTCTTGTGGACAAGGACACTGCAGACCCAGAGGAGCAAAGCTAGTTCAAGTTCACACGGCCAAGCAGAGGCAAGACAGGCCCAGCCCAGGACCCTGTCCCTCACAGACCTCACTCTCCCTCAGCCTGCTGACGTGTCAGCCTCGAGCCCCTGTCAGTGCAGGGCAGAGCCAGGCAGGGAGCAGCTCCTACTGGCGAGAGTTCTCTCTGGGACGAATCCTGGCTCCTAGGGCTGGAGGAACACACATCTCTTTCCTAACGTGGCCAAGGGGAAATCACTTGGGTGTCAGAAGCCGTTGGACATGTGGCAACTGCCAACTGCCTTGTGGCTTTTCTTCCCGTGATCCTCCCCTGGGCTGCAGGAGGCCAGGCCTGCTGTGAGTCAACATTATGACACTCGGAAGAGCTTCGGTTTCCGAGCAAAAGCAGCTGGGGGGGCCTCCCTCCCTCCAGCCCTGCGAGGGCGACTGTCTTCCCTTCCCTCATCCTCCAGCTCGTCCCAGAAACTGCCCTTTGTGCAGAGACCCAGACTCTGTGCTCAGAATCCACCCTCCTTCCATCAGCCCCAGGCACCGCCAGCTGCCTCCCCCTGGAAACCTTGGGAGGTGGCCAGCCAGGCTGAGCTTATCTGCCTTAGTCTCCAAACACCCTTGGTCCAGAACTTATGCCTGGGTTCTGACTCCTCCTTCATTTATTCACTATTGAATATACCTGTGTCCCATTGGGACTGCAGCAACAATAATAATATTACTAATAGAAATAATAATAATAATGAGAACAGTCTGTCCCAGTCTGTTCCTCTTGGAGGCTGGGATCCTTTCAGACAGATCACTTCAAAGGAGCCCTTTTATGGGACTCGAAGCTGGGAAGGAGACAGCCGGTCCTTTTTAGCCTAACAAGGCAGGGGAGACACCTTTCAAGTGTTGATGCCTGCTACAAAATGTCATTCATTCATTCATTCATTCATTCATTCAGGGTCTCACACTGTCCCCCAGGCTCACCACAGCCTCCACCTCCTGGGCTCAGGTGATCCTTCCACCTCAGCCTCGCAAGTAGCTGAGACTACAGGCACAAGCCACTACGCTTGGCTTTTTTTAAAAACTTTTTTGTAGAGGTGAGGTCTCATTATGTTGCCCAGGATGGTCTTGGACTCCTGGGCTCAGGTGTTGGGATTGCAGGCATGAGCCCTGACTGTCTTTCCGCCCCTTGAGGCCAGACCTCCGGGAGGGCCTGTTCGTCTCCTCCCCTTCCTCCTCCAGGATCCACCACGAGCTCTTCCTTCTCCTGCATGCCCGCCTAGGAGTAAAGAACGGCCGGCAACGTGCCCCGGCAGCCAGACACTGGGGACGTGGGACCCAGGCGGGCAAGGGAGGGAACGGGCTGGAAAAGCCAGGGGCTGAGTCGCTGGGGTCAGTGGAGGCTCACGAGGCCTCTGCTGAACCCCGAGACGGTCTCGCATTAAACCTGAGCATCTGGCTCTCCCGAGGGAACCGTGCCCACAGATGGAGTGTGCGGGCAAAGAAGGAAGCCGAGGCTTGGCCAGGTCAAGCCACCAGCTTGCAGTCACACAGCCAGGAGTGGCAGAGCAGGGGCCTGGGCCCACACCCTCGGGCGCCTCGCCGCATAGCCAGGAGCTTCCTGGAGGCAGGGAGTGGCTGCCTCTCCCGGCGGTGCCAGGCCGAGGGCAGGGCTCACAGAGGCAGTGTGAGCCATGGACCCCTCTGTCGGCACCCCTGTCCAGCCCAGACCCAGAGGCCTGAGTGCCAAGAGCTCAGCCTGTAGTCCCCTGGTGTATTTTCCTCATTTCACCACTGAACAACCCCTCCCACCTCCAACGGAGGAACCCACATTTCAGAAGGGGCAAAGAACTTGGCAGGCTCACAGAGTGGGTAGCGTGGCCGGGACCCTGAGTCCTGGCTCTAAACCCAATTCACTTTCTTCTGGAAAAAGTCAACAGCCTGAGGACAGAAGAGCAGAAAAATGGACAGAACCAGCCCTGAACTGACCAACCCTTGATCCATTCTAGCGATTCATTTCCTCGTGATCTAAGCCATGTTGAACTGGACTGGCAGGCGAGTTTTGAGGGATGATGGAACTATTCTATATCCTGATTGTGGTCCTGATTACACATATCTTACGTGTCTCAAAACTGATAGAACTAAAAGAAACTCTGTGGAGCAAATATGGCATAGTATTAAGATTTTATAACCCTGGATAGTCTATTCTTATCTATACATTTAAGATGTTTTATAATAATTTTGGAAAACAAAGAGCAACAAGAGGAGGAGGAGGAGAAGCCTGTTTAGATGTGATGGCTGGGATTGTGGCAGCCATCTTGTAACCATGAGGGAAGCCGGCGTGAGAGCAAAATCTGAGACACCAGATGAGAGACGGGAAAATGATCCTATAGATGTCTGTGGGCTGCTGAATTGCTAGAATCTGAAGCCTGTCCTCTCTCTGAACTTCCTCTCTGAGATAATAAGTGCATGAGTTGGGAGTTTCTGATACTTGAAGACATGGGCACTGATACGGGATGGAGGATCGGATCTCAAGCCCTGGGGCACCTCTGTGGCCAGCGACTATGCTGGGAGGGAGAATGGAGAGCCACTGATGACAGCTCCCGGGATGTGGCGGGGCAGGAACCATGGGGGAAGCCAGTGGGAAGCTTGTTCAGAGACTCGCAGGCTGATTTTAAGATCCTAATTTCATAGCGATGGAAGGCATCCTCGTGTGACTTCATCGCCATGCTCCTTTTCTAAGATGCAACATCTGCCCGGGCCTGGGGGGCCTTATGGACCCTGGGCAGTTAAGAGCTGGAGGTGTTCAAAAATGTACAGGATAATTTCCCCAAAATCGAGGTTTATGACAAGTCTCGGGCCCATGTTGGCTGCTACTTAGAGCTACCGTCCTTGTACAGAGACAGACACAGACACTTGAGTCTGGGCCCTAAGAGGTTTGGAGGAAGACAGAGCTGGGGCGAGGGCCTGGAGTGACAAGTCCTCCTGGCGGCTGCCCCGGGAAGGGGAGAGGTCTCATCTCCACGAAAGGCAAAGGGACCATGAGCGTGATAGCTGTGAATCAGTTTCCTCGTCTCCAAAGCAGGGAAGAATCGCCCCTCCCTCGAGGTATTGTGGGCTTGGAGTCGACCCAGGCCAAGTGTGTGGCACACAGTAGGTGCTCTGTACACGCCTGGTTCCATTCGTACACAAGCCAGGTTTCCAGTTGTTGCAGACGGGAGGCATGAGATCCTTTCTAGAACCCGGCAAAGAGAAGAAGAAAGAACAAACTTCAGAAGGCCTTCTGTCTGCCAGGCTCAGCGGGCTTCATTAGACTTTCATAGAACCAGCGTCCGGGAGACAGGGCGCCAGGGGGCTGATGAGGACCCAGCGGGAGAGCAGCCAGCTGCCCCTCTGCCGCCCCGCCCCTCCTCTCATCACCATGGAGACCGAGCAGGCTGCCCGGCAGGGTTCCTGCCCACCCACGGCCTGAGGCTGCGGAAGAGGAGGGACAGGGACCTGCAGAGCTGGGCGGGGTGCGGCCTGTCTGTCCCCCCAACCCCAAGGCGCTGAAGGCTGGAAGGGGGTGGGGGGAGCATCTGGGGCTGTGTTTTGATCCCAGCTCTGCTGGCAGCTGGCTGAGTGACTGGGAAGAACACCTCCCCTGGTGAAGCCTCATTCTGCATCTGTCAAAGAAGAAGTGAAAATGTGTAAAAACAGAAGCTTGGTTAGGGAACTATCCTGGGAAGAATGTTGTCTACATACTGTTTACTGAAACAATGGAACTTTATAAAACCGACTGGGGTGACCCCATATTTGTTTTAAAAAAAAAGAAAGCAGACTCTATCTATGCTGACCAACAAAACATGGAGAGAAGTAGTATCTATGATACACTTTGACTTATAGTCGTTTTTTTCCTCTTGTTTCTCAAATTTTGGCCAATGAGCGTGGATTACTGCTAAAATCAGAGTAGCATTAGTAGCTACCAGGAGGAGGCTTGCTAGGCAGGGCCGTTGTGCTCCATACTGTACAGGGCTTAAAGCTCCCTCTGTCTTCACAATAGCCCAGGTAGGGAAGGTGCTATTGTTCTCCCCACCCTGCAGAAGAGAAAGCTGAGGTTCCGAGAGGCTAAGGGCTTGCCTGAGGTCAGGCCACCACAGAGGGGCAAGCCAGACTTAAAACCACGGCCAAGATGTCAGACTCCAAAATTCGAGCATTTAATCATGGCCACTGCTGCCTCTCAGGACAAGAAAACACCAAAGCTTCTGTGTTCTTAAATGTTTTATTATGGAAAACACCGACGCAATCAAAAGTAGAATGAGAAATATAATGACTCCTCACGTACCCACCATCCAGCTTGAGGAAAGTCCTTAGGTGGGAGGATTCGGGAGGGGGCTCGGGGAGAGGGACAGGGCGCCTAGTAAGGGGTACCAACCTCCATGTGCACGCAAACGCGAGCACACGCACGCGAGGCTCCCAGGCTCCGCTCCTGGCCACCTCTGGGCCCCAGCCCCGCTGGGAAGCCACAGCCGCCCTCCCCCTCCCGCCTCTGCCCGCATTCCTTCCTCCTTTCTACACTCTCCTGACTTGCATTTCCCGCCGGCTCCTTTATAGGGCTCTGGTTCCCCTCCAAGGTCTTGAGGTTTTCGGCAGCTCTGGAGGACGAGGAAGGAGGACATGGCCAGGGGCCCTGACAACACGCCGAGCTGGGCTCCGCTGGTGGTGCTGGTCGCCGTGGGCACAGGCATGGCAGGGGCCCCCAACCCTGGCGCCGTGGCCAGGATCTCCCAGAAAGGCCTGGACTATGGTAACCGGGTGCCTTCCTCCCTTCCTCTCCCACCCCCTAGAAGCACTTGTCAGCAGCCCTTTAGACCAGTACCTGCCATGCCCAAAGCTGGCAAGGTGGGTTCCCTTCCCCTGTTTTGCATATGAGGACTCAGGCAAGTTGCCTAGATCACAGGGCTGGGAAGCACAGAGTGGGGATCAAAGCACGGGGCTAGAGAACTCCAAGTCCAGTGCTCAGGCCCCTGAGGGTCCTCAAGGCTCCTTCCTTCCCTCTCCCCAAACCCCTCCTCATGCGTCTAGACCCTTCTCTCCCTTCCCAAGCAGGTCCTCAGTCTCGCCATGTGCCGCCAGAGGCTGGGGAGGCTGAGCGGGCGGGGGGTGTGGGGAAGGCCCTCCTTCGTGCTCCCCAGAGCAGGGGCTGGCAGTGATGTATGTGGGACCCCACTGGGCGACTCGGCGAGGGGAGGGTCCCTGGGCCACCATCCAGGCCCAGACTGAGGAGCAAGAGGCACGAAACAGCCCCTGCTGGCCCGTTCCCACCCGGGCCAGGAAGGAGGTAGAGCTTTGCACACACAGCTTCGTCCATCCTCACGTCAACCCCGGGGACAAACCGCGGCCGCCAACGTGCACACGCGGAGAGCCCGGTCTGGTCCCCGTGCAGGGCAGCTCGACGCTGCCCCTCGGTGGTGGAGAGAGGACCTGCAGAGCCCTGGGTGATCCTAGGTCCAGTGAAATCAGACCAAGGGGAGGCAGGTGCTCCAGAGCGGGAGCAGGACAGGACTCCGGGCACCTGGCATGCCACCCTTGAATTCCTACCCTAGCCCAGGCAGAACATCTCTAATCCCAGGGTGCTGACAGGAGGCCCATATGAGCTAGGAGGAAGGAGTAGGATGCTGCTCGGAACCCAGAGCTAGGGCAGCCCTGAAGGCTTCCTGGAAGCAGAGGCTCAGCTGAGCGCTTGAAGCCCAGAAGGTCTCATGCTCTGTCATAGCAGCCTCAGTTTCCCCCTTTACTCGTGATCCACGTGGCAATCAGAATGAGTTTTCTGAAATGCAGCAAATCTGTCCTGTCCTTCCCCTTGCTCACACTATCTGTGGCTCCCTAGTGCCTTCGGAAGCTGTCCTGACCCTTTGGCACAGTATTTGAGACCCTTCAAGGCTGGCGCCTGCCGACTGACAAATCCCAGGCATCTCACATCCTCCTCCTTCCAGACAGTGACCAGGCATGTGTTGTTTACTGAACCCTCAGAAAGCCCAATCCAGGGCAAGGGCTCTGGAACCAGAAGGCCTGGGTTCAGATCCAGCCCTCATCAGCTGTGTGGCGGTGAGCAAGGAAGCACCTTGCCTTTCCGAGTCTCAGCTTCCTTATCTGAGAAATGGGGGTAGGGACAGGACCTATTTCTTCGGATTGCTCAGATTCGATAACTTAATATATGGACATAGTCTAAACAGTGCCTGGCACAGAGTGAAAGCTCGATATGTACTATTATTTCATTTTATTTTATTATTATTTTTATTTTAAGGATGTAGGGTACAATTCAGGGTTACAAATGTTCATTATGCAGGGACCCTTGTTGATGAGGTGTGTCCCTCTCTCCCCTGGCAGTTTCCCTCAACTGCCAATCCCACCCCACCCCTGGCAGTTTCCCCTTACTGCCAATCCCTTTCTTATAGTTTTATGATAATTGTTTATTACTACTTATTATTGTTGTTATTATTATTATTGTTATCGTGATATTGTTATCTCCTAACTGGCTCTTAGAAAACACAAAGCCTGGGCTCCTTCATGTTACTACTCATTCCTTCTCAAGTAGTGGGGCTGCTTTTTAATTGGTTCCTGAATGCTGTCGGCCACCTGATAACCTATGGCAGATTTCCCCCTATGGGGACATTCATTCATTTACTCATCTAACAAGTATTAGGGGCTTCCTAAGCACCAGGCACTAAGGTCAGTGCAGGGGCACTTTAATAAATGAAACTGACGTTGCTGCTGACCTCAGAGGCTCACATCCAGCAGGGAGGAGAGACACGAGTCAGTGTCATGTGAGTAAACGTATACTTACAAGTTACTCACGGGGCTCCAGAGATGTCCACAGTGTGACGAGGATGATGGGGGTGGGGTGCTCCAGTATGCTGGGTCAGGAGAGTTCCCAGAGGAAGTGATGATCAAGCTGGCTAAACGCTGACCAGGTGAGTATGGGAGGCAAGAGTTTCCTAGACAGCAGGAATGGCACGTACAAAGGTCCTGTGGACAGAGTCCAAAAATCAGGGAGGTCGGGCATCTGTGGGGGCATAGCACAGAGAGAGTAACAAAGCAGATGTTCAACAAATACTCGGACACACTGCTGGGTGTTTGGGGTGATGGCTTGGCCAAATCTAGCCTACTGTGTGTTTGTGTACAGCCTATGAGCTAGGAATGGTTTTTACATTTTTAAGTGATTGAAAAAAGTCAAAAGAAGAAGAATATCTCACAACAGGTGAAAATTACACGAAATTTAAATGTCAGTGCCCATAAACAATTACAGGAATAGAGGCAGTTATATGTTTCCATCCTGTCTGTGCCTGTCTGTGTGGTGCTTGTGACAGAGACAGTATGACCCACAAAGTGGAAGACATTTACCACTCGACCCTCCGTAGGAAACCTGGGACCCCAGTTCTAGACCTTCCAGTCCTACCGCCCATGCCTTGGCCAGGGGCCACAGGGCCAGGCCTGTCCTACTCGCTTGCCCTGGCTCCCACTGTGCTTCTGACCACCCACACCATCGCCCCCAGCCTGCCAGCAGGGAATGGCTGCGCTGCAGAAGGAGCTGGAAAAGATCAGAATCCCCGACTTCTCCGGAAAATTCAAGATTAAGCATCTCGGGAATGGGCACTACAGCTTCTACAGGTGAGACCCCTCAGAGCTCCGCCCTCAGCACACAGGATTGCGTGTCCGCAGCCACAAAGACCTAGAGTCACAGAACCACAAACTTCTCAACTCAGAGTTTCAGACCCCAAAGCCAGCATCACACCACCCCAAGGGGATCGAGCCCCCACACTGAGCGTGGCCAGGCCACAGAAACTGTCTTTGGATTCTCACTGTGACACATAGAACCTGTTGTGAACCCCAAGAACCCGTGCCAGGCCCCCATTTCCATTAGAACGTAAGGGTCTCAAGGATAGAAAACCGGACCCAAAATGGCCTGAGCCAGAAGTCACTGGCTCACCTGACAGAGAGGTTCCCAGAGCAGCCTGGCTTCAGGCTCAGCCCAAAGCAGGCTCCGGTGTTATCGGACCCTGTAGAAACCCTTGTCACCTCTCAGCATCACTTGATCTCAGTCTGTGGAAGGGGAGGTCTCCCCTTGCAACTCAGGCAAAAGTCCCATGAGTCACTCTGATTGGCCCATCTTAGGTTATGTACACACCCCCGAGCCCATCACTGGGGCCAGGCTGCAAGCTTCTCCCCCTAAAGATGGAAGCATAGTCAACTTTCTTAGAGTGGCAGAAATGGGGAGGGCTCCTTCAAGATGAAATAGTAGTTCTGTTATCACAAGCAGGAGGGGTGTGTGCTGGGCAGAAAACCCCTAAACAACCTCCACAGAGTTGTATGCATCCATTCATTCACAGATATTTTGAGCACCTACTATGTGTCCGACACAGCGGCTCTACAGTGAAATAAGACAGACAGAGCTTTACAGAGATCTCTTTTACAGAGCTCGTAGTCAAGGGGTGACATTTGTTATCTTCACTGATGATAACATACCCTGCATGGTAGAGATTGTTGTGCCCATTTTACAGATGAGGAAACTGAGGCCCAGGGTAATTTAAGGCAGGGTTATCCCAGTGGTATATTGAACAGCAGGTTCAAGGGCAGATTTGTCTGACTTCAAAGCCAAAGCCTAAGCCTCTCGGTGCCAGTGTGGTTGCCAAAGCTGCTCTCACAGCTTCCAGCCTCTCCTGGAACAGATGGGGTGAAGGAACCGATGGGAGTGTGAGGCGTCTGCGGTGATGGAGCCCCCATGTGGGCCCTGAGGCGGACTGAATGCTTCTTCCCCACAGCATGCAGATGCGTGGATTCCAGCTTCCCAACTCCCAGATACGCATGGTGCCTAGCGTGGGACTCGGACTGTCCTCCAGGAATGCCAGCGTCAGGATCAGCGGAAGATGGAAGGCACGGAAGAATTTCCTGTGCGTACGCTTGGGGTTTATGGGGTGTGCCTTGGTGATATTACAAAGGATTAGAGCCAGGTCTCAGAAGTACCCTGTTTTTGCCTTGTCCTGTCACCACCTGTTGCCACAAGATTTTACGTAGTAAGATTCAACACGACTTTTGGTCACGAGCTGGGCATTTGCTCTCCTCTCGGTGCAGGACATTGGCAAGGCTGAGGGTGGCTTAGGATGGAAAGCTAAGTGGAACCTGACATTGCTCTGTTTGACAGTCAGCTACTGCTGTGTAACAAACCTTCCCGCACCCCGTGACTTGAAGCAACGATCACATGTGATCCTCACATATCTGTGTGTCCGCTGGGCTCAGCTGAGGGACCAGGATCCACGCTTGTCTCCTTCTCCTCCCTGGGCTGGCAGGCTGCCTACAGCATATTATTAGTGACAGCAGAGGTGCAAACAGGGAAAGCAGGGACTCGGAGCTTCTCTTGGGGCCTGGGCTCAGAGAACTGCTGGCCAAATCGTGTCCTGCAGCCAAGCCCAAAGTCAAGAGCAAGAAAATGCACCAACTGTGATAGGCAGTCGGGGGGGTCTGGGTGCAGGGAGAGGCGGGAAATTGGGGAGGTCATCCCCACTGCAACGCTGAGTCCAGACACGGGGCTCTGGGGACCCTGCCCACTAACAGTAGTGGCAGAGGCACCGGCCACTTGGGGATGGTCTCCTCTATGGGGACCCTTCGTAAGGAGAAAGGCGAGAAGAAGTCCCTGGGGGGAGAGGGCCACAGGTCTGCCCTCCCTTACGAGGACCTGCGTTTGTCTGTCCCACAATGAGAACCATTCTGTTCTCGGCCCGGGCTCTTTGGCACTTACCATTTCACTTACTGGTCACAAAAACAGCAGCAAGGTTCCATCCTATCACAGCAAAGCTGACAAATCGCATGCATGTCCACTGGCTTATCCAAAACTCATTTCATCCTGGAGGGAGGGGTCATCAACCTCATTACTTAACTAATGGGAGTGTTAATTAACGTCATCACCCCAATCACCCAGCTTTTTAGGAGCAAATCTAAGACTCACTCTGGTGCCCAACTGTCCAACTGCTGATCCAGGATGTGGGGGAGGAAATGGAAGCTCAGAGAGGGCAAGAAGCATGCCCAAAGTCACACAGCTGAGGCAGTAGCTAAGGGCCGGGTTTTGTCAGGCAGATGTGGGTTCAGACTTCAACTTGGAACCCGGATGACCACTCAGTTGCTGTGTGGCCGTGGGCAGCTGCCTCCTCTCTCTGAACTTGACCTCCTTACCCTGGAGTAGGGTTAGCAGCGAATCCTCCCTTCTGGCACCACCGGGCAGTGGGAAGAGAGGGCTCGTCCCACCACTGGTCTCTGTGTTCCTTTAGCAAAACCAGCGGCGGCTTTGACTTGAGCGTCGAGGGTGTCTCCATTTCAGCTGATCTGAAGCTAGGCAGAGACCCCACCTCGGGCCACGCCACCGTCACCTGCTCCAACTGCAGCAGCCACATCGACAGGGTCCACGTGCGCATCTCAGGCAGACTGGGGTATGACCAGCCGGGTCTGGGGTCGGGAGGAAGGACCTGAAGAAAACAGTCCTGATCATCCTTGTGATCAGAAAACACATCTGGAGAGCCCCCTGCACGCCAGGCTTCGTGCAGAGCCTCGATGTGGGGTGGGGGCAGGGGCCACAGGGGAAGCCGACTCTGTCCCTATCTCAAGACACCATCTGTTCATTCAGTATTCATCAGCAGCTTTACTGAGCATTTACTATGCCCCAGGCTTGTGCTGAGCACTTTATGCATGCATAAATTCCATCTTCACCAAAGCCTGTAGGCGTTCAACAAATACCCACTGAGAGCAGGCCCTACCCTGGGCTCGAGCGGCAAGCTCAGGAAACAGCACGGCCAAGAAGAATGGGTAACAGCTGATACTGGTCAGAGGCTTGCCACATGCCAAGCCCTGTTTGAAGCACACCCTTGTTATCTCATCCAACCGGAAGAATGCCTCTGTGAAGTTGAGCTGTTATCAACCCATTTCCAGGGGAGAAAACCAAGCAGAGCAAAAAAAGGAAATAACCTAAGTTTCCATAGCCAGCAGAGTGCTCGAGTTCAGGTCTATCTGACCCCAAACTTGGCCACACAACCCTGTTCTTTTAAAGTTTCCAGCCAGTGGGAAAGACGGACATTAGCCAAAGCATTGCATTAATGAATGGCTCTCACAGAATTGCAAGAGGAGATAAGAACTAAGAAAAAGGGAAACAAAGTGCTACAAACACATAGAACAAGACGATCTGACCTCTGGGAGCAGGCTAGTTCTTCCTTGGTGAAATGACATTTGAATTGAGATGAAAAGAATAGGTAGGAGTTAATTAGGTAGATGTGGGGGACGGGGGTGTTTTAAGCCGAAGGAACAGCATGTGTAAAGGCACTGTAGTAGGAGGAAGCTCAGGATGGAGGACATGGCAGCCAGTGTGGCTGGTGTGCAGCGAGGGAGGGGAGTGGTGAGGCACCCAGCTGTGCAGCTAGTGGGGAAATAACCCCCGAATAGGTCACTACAGCAGGGAAGAAGTGTCTAACAGGTGCAGATGGAGCCCGGGTGAGAGTGCTAAGGCCTTCTAGCAGGAGGGAAGAAAGTGTCCCAGATGAGGTAGCCTCCTGAATCCAGCTCAGAAACATCTGGAAAGCCTCATACACGTCTCTACATGTCAACCTCTAGGTGGCTGATCCGGCTCTTCCGCAAAAAAATTGAATCTTCCCTTCGAAACAACATGAACAGCCAGGTAGGAGGACCCAGGCCCCATCAGCAGTCAGGGGTGGGTGGGGGGCTCGGTAACCACACGCTCGCTGCTTCGCTGGACACTCTGCCGTCACCCTAGACCCCTCAGCCGTCCTTGCAGCCTTCTGAAACCACACCCAGCTCTAAAAACCAGCAACATCTATTTGACTGAGGGGCCCACCAAGAGACCACGAAGGGCTTGCCTCCTGCACCCCAGCAAGTGCTCGCCACACCCGCTGGGGTCCCAGCTGCTCTTCCCAGCACCCCTCCCCACTGAGGAAATGCCACTCTTCCCAGAATCCTGTGGGCCTCCTTCCTCCATGTCCACCTCCCCCAAGTCCCCTCCTTGGTGCTCCCCACCCAGAGCAAATGCCATTGATGAAGCCACAAGCCTGGGTGTTGGCCAAACCCCAGCTGCAGCCTGTTCCCTGAGGCTGGTACTAGAGCCGGTGCTCCCCAAACCTGCCCACACCCTGAACCCCTCAGCCAGTCATTCATTCGACTGATTTTTTTTTTATCACTAAACCATCAGTTTCCAAGAATCACCTGAACCTGTTTCAAAGGGCAAATGAGTTTGGGCTATCTCCAGAGGGCAATAAGGAGCCATTGACGGTTTTAGGCAAGTGGGTGATCTGGCCAGCCATGTGCTTTAGAACAATTTCCTTGTCCACTGTGGGAATGACTGGTGGGACCAAGAATGGAGGCAGAGAGACCACTGAAGTGACTTGTGTGATCTTCTAGGTGGAAGATGTTAGTTTTCTGGTCAAAGGTACTGAAAATGCAGGCAGGAAGACATAAATCAATTGAGATCATCTATCTGAAGATACTGTGTCAAAAATTTAAAAAGAGAAAAATCAATGCACGTTGTCAAGATGCTTACCAGTGGATTATACACTGGGTTTAGGGTCAGAATCCCTAGATTTTAGTCCTGGTTCAAGGGCTTAACTAGCTGTGTAACCTTGAGGAAATCACTTGACTGTTTTGAACCTCAGTTTCACCATCTGTGAAATGGGGACATGAATGCCGTCTTCACCAAGGTGTTGTAAGGACGTGTGAAATAATGCAGACAGTGTGCTTACCCACAGCACAGCTGTCTGTATAATGAAGTAACCGTCTGAGAGGAGTGTTGAGACATATTTAACATCTGGAACAATTAAAACAATTGTTTCCTAGTACTACCTACAAATGGCCCCTCTAGAGCAGGGAAGCCAAAAAGTAATAATGTTGCTACTGGTAGCAGTGAAGACCATGGTGATGGTGAGGATGGTGATGGTGAGGATGAGGGTGAGGATGGAGACGGTGATGGTGATGGTGAGGATGGTGGTGACAGCTGTGGTGACGGGGAAGGTGAGGGTGACGACGGTGAGGATGGTGATAGCGACGGTGAGGATGATGGTGAGGATGACGGTGAGAGTGGTGGCAGTCAAGATGGTGAGGGTGGTGGCGAGATGACTGTTACGGTGAAGATCACGGTGAGGGTGGTGGTGGTGGTGAGGAGGATGGTGATGGTAATGGTGAGGATGACGATCGTGATGATGGTGAGGCTGATGATGACGGTGAAGATGACGGTGACGTCGAGGGTGATGATGAGGATGACAGTGACGGTGATGGTGATGGCGAAGGTGATGGTGGTGGCGAGAATGGTGGTGATGGTGGGGAGGACGGAGATGGGGATGGTGAGGAGGACGGTGATGGCGAAACGATGGTGACCACGACGGCGAGGCGATGGTTAGGGTAAATCTAACGGTGATGTCGACGGTGAGGAGGACGGTCATGGTGAAATGACAGTGACCCAGATGGTGAGGGGATGGTTGTAGTACAGAGGACGGTGATGCTGATGGTGAGGAGGATGGTGATGGCTGTGGTGGTGGAGCTGGCGAAGATGCTTGATGGCGATGGTGAGGACGACAGTGATGGTGACTTGACGATGGTGGCAGTGGTGGTGTTGATGGTGACGGTGGCGGTGACGGTGAAGAGAGCGGTGATGTGATAGGGAGGATGATGGTGACGATGGTGGTAGTGACGGCGATGGCAAAAATGATGGTGGTGACAGTGAAGATGGCGGTGAGGGTGAAGATGACGATGGTGATGGTGACGGTGATGGCGGTGGAGATGATGATGAGGGTGACGGCGAAGAAGACGATGGGACGGCCCACATACGCTGAGTTGCCTGCGGTGGTCCTGGTATGGTACTAGAAGCCCCTTCTGTGGATTCTGGCATTTAATCCACACATTCTAGCATTTAATCTCCTAGGAGGAAGATGTCAGGATTCGCCCCATTTTATAGACGAGTAAACTGAGATACAGAAAGAGGAAATGAGGGTGCTGGGATTCCAGTTCAGACTATTCCACCTTAGGGGTGAGGCTCTTAATCTCAAGCTCCTATTCAGAAGAGAGCACTGGCCTGAATGAATGGCTGGGGTGTCACGATGCTAGGAGGAGCTGGAAGTGGAGAGGAACAAGCCAGGGCGTCCAGCCCCAGGAACGCAGAGTGCAGGGTGGTGTCTGAGGGAAGGAAGAGGCTGAGTCCACACAAAGTGTATGTCGCGGGAAGAGTGTCAGGGCCCAGTCCCGGCCGGGATAAGGTTGGCCGTGGTCTGGGGCCTGTTGGCCCCAATGGGTGAGCAACACCAAGCCCAAGGGCACCCCGGGGTCCAGCTCACCCAGCTGCCTGTGCTGCCTTCTGCTCCTAGGTCATTTGGAGAAGAGGCACAGGTTCCTCAGAGAACGAGGAAGGTTCCAGGTCCTGTGGGGACTTCCAGAGTCCTATGTGATAGAGACACACACCAGGAATGCCAAATTCTCTTTTTCCCTCCCTCCCTCCCTCCCTTTCTTCCTTCCCTCATTTTCCTCCCCCTCCCCTTCCTTTCTTCCTTTTCTCTTCTTTCCCTGCCTTCCCCACTTTCTCCCTCCCTCTCTCCCTTCCTCCTTTTCTTCTTTCCTTCCTTCCCCGCTTCTTCTCTCCATCCCTCCCTCCACTCCCCAGGTAAAATAACCTGACTGACGGAGAGAAGGGAGGGGGAAGGGAATATGGAGGTGATGGAGCCAACCCTGGGGAGGAGTGAGAACCTGAGAAGTGTGGTTGGAATGTGCCAACTGTGGGGGTCTGTGGGACATCCAGGGACAGCCATCCAGGAGGCAGCAGGGCCCCGGGATGGAGCTCAGAGAAGAGACTTGGCCTCAAAGCAAAGTCTGGGTGTCGGTTACATGTTGGGAGCCACGGAGGCGACTTCACTGGGCTCCCCCAGGCAGATGCTGAGGCAAAGCTTTGGGGCAATTCTTTTGTGGCAGGGTATCCCAGGCAGCATAGTGATGGGAGGAGAAGGGAGACAGAGAAAGGGGCTTTGCTGAGTGGGCTGCTGCCATAGGAGCAGAGGCTCGGTCATGGCAGTCCTCGGAAGAATCAGGAACATACCTCAGGACTGCCTGAAAGGGTAAGGAGGCTGGATGCTTATCCACCACCTCTGACTCCTCCTTGGTTGAAGGCTGTTTTAAGGGTCTGATTCCTCAGCACTTCTGAGCACTGTCCAGGGGGTGGAGAAAACCCTCCAGTGGGCCAGGGTTGGGGGTGGGGGGCTCATCCATCCCCCCTAGCCCCTCCCTGAGTTAGGGAGGGTTGTGGTTTTAATCCTGTATCCCAGCCATCTATTGCTTGGAAACAAACAGCCCAAGGTTTGGTGTGGTAAAACAATCACCATTTTTAATGCTCATGGATTCTGTGGATCAGGAAATTGGGCAGGCATGGCAGGGATGGCTGAGCTTCTCTTTACTCCTTGAGGCTAGGGCCTCATCTCAAAAGACTCACAAGTCCACAAAGGTTAGAATCATCTGCAGGGTCCCCCCTTGCATCTCTGGTGCCTGGGGTAGGAAGACTGGAACACTCAGCTCAACTGCTGACCCAACCCACTGCCGTGGCCTCTGGGAGACTTGGTCTTCTCACAGCATTGATTGGGATCCCAGAAGGAACAACCAGAGAAGGAGCATTTCTAGAGACCAAAATGGAGACTGCATCGCCTTTTAGGACCTTGCCTCCATGGTCACACAAAGTCACTTCTACTGTGTTCTACTGATTTGAATCTTCACACCCAGATTCTAAGTGAGAGTTCACGGAAGGCACCTCTCAATGGGATGTGGCCAGGGCACATTACAGAAGAGAAAGTAGAATGGAAAATATAATTCGCCATGATCCATCTCACAGATGAGGAAATAGAGTCTAGATAAATGAAGTAACTTCCTCACAGGCAAAGTCAGCATGTGACCTGGGTCTTCTCAGACCAGTGCTTGTTCCACTGTGAGTTACGAGAGCAGGTAGGGGGCACAGGTAGGCAGGGATGGCTTCTCTGGCAAAGGGAGGGTGCCCGCTCCAACTTAAGCAGAGAACCTGTCCCTTGCTCCCAGAAGTACAGATAAGGGAAGTCTGGCCATTGGCTGCCTCGTGTTTGTCTCTTTACTACCTCCTTGACAAAGGATCTAAGACAGCAAAAACAAACAAATACACCAAAGAAAAACAAAGCAATAGCCAACAAAAAAACCTACCTAATTTCTGGGTCCAGTGGCTCACGCCTGTACTTTGGGAGGCTGGGACGGGAGGATGACTTGAGCCCAGGAGTTCAAGATCAGCCTAGGCAGCATAGCGAGACCTCATCTCTTCAAAAAATAAAGAGGCGTGGTGGTCCATGCCTGTAGTTCCAACTACTTGGGAGGCTGAGGCAGAAGGTTTGCCTGAGCCCAGGTGGTCAAAGCTATGGTGAGCCCTGATCATGCCTGGGCAACAGAGAGAGACTCCAACTCAAAAAAATCAAAACTTAAGAAGAAAAAACCCATCTTATGAAATAGAGGACATAAATACCCAATAGAAAAGTTTCACACATCAAGGTAGGAAGAATGCAGACAAATCAGTCCTACAAACATATACAGTTATTTTTTTTTCTTTTGTGACAGAATCTTGAAATCCTGGGCTCAAGTAATCCCCTCACCTTGGCCTCCCAAAGGGCTGGGATTATAGGCATGAGGCACTGCACCCAGTCTACAGTTACTATTTCTAAGGTGCACATTGAACTCTGAGTTCCGAGTGGCCAAAGAGAAAAAGAAACTTGATTGGCTACGTGATTTTTAAGAAAGTATTCAAGGAAAGCAACGTCTATCTGAAACATTATTGCCAAAGGACATTTTTCATTATGGGAAGCTCTCACTGATCACTTGTTTGATTCTCCCCAGATCTGCAATACAATGACCCGGGCTGTGTCCTCCAAGCTGCAACCTTTTATCCAGACTCTGCCAGGTAAAAGCTGGGTGGGGATCAAGGATAGAAGGCAACCGAAGGGAGAGGGAGGCAGGATGAGTCTGACAAGTCATCCAGGTTCCCAGACATGCCTGGGCCTGGGTAGGAGTGGACAGAGCAGGTGATTTGCAGGTGGCGGCGGGCATTGGGCCAGGGCCTCGTGGGAGGTAGAAAGTGCAGTGGAAAAGCTGCCCACGCTGTCATCGTTCCCTCATCTCTGCGGGGGCCAAACAGCTAAATGTCCCCACCTCTCTGACACATCACTGGCCTGAGCTGAAAATGGTCACTTCTCTTTGGACTTCATTTCCACATCCTTAAAATGGGATGATAATCTTCACCCCCAAGCACTTGGTAAACTGCAGAGAGCCATAGAAAGCGCTCAGGAAATCACCCCCCTCAGTCTTCCAACACCCACAGAGACAGATGAGCTTCTCCCCATTTTTCACATGAGAAAACTGAGTCTCGAAGAGAAGCTGAGACTTGTCTGAGGTCCCACAGCCAACAAGAGGCAGAAACAGCATCCAGACCTGGAGTTCAGGTGTTCCAGCTGCTCCCAGGGCTGCCTCCCCTTGAGGCCTGGTGTGGATGGCATACAGTACATGCTCATTAAAGAGACATTTTCCTCCTCCAGGATGGTAGCCCATCCTGGCAGGTTCAGTGCAGTTGCAGTGCCCCAGGTTTAGCCTCACATGCTAGGAAAAAGATGTACATTTGAATAGCAGCTTTGTCACTCACCAGCAGTGCCATCTTGCCAACTGGATTTCAGAGCCTGGACTTCTCTGCTGACAAAGGAAGGGAGGGCTGAAGGAGAGGCTGGTATCTAAGTCTCATGATTGTTCCTGGGAACAGAGGAGCTGACCAGCCCGAAGCCAGCCAGGGCCCAGCCTGAGACACATCACTGCTAAGTCCCACCCTTCCTGGCTTCAGAGCCTCAGCGTGTATTGGGCATTGGGCACACACCTTCTCGCGTAATGGTCCCAGCACCAGTGACATCATTAGGGTCACCCTCAGTCTTCAAATGACAAAAAGTGGCTCAGAGAGGTGCAAGAGTTTGTCCAAGGTCATGCTGAGCTTGAGTCAAGCTCAGGTCTCTCCATGTCTTTGATCTTGTGTTTTCGCCACTCATTTCAGGGCTGTTGGAACAACGGAGTGAGATGGTGTCTGTGCATGTGGACATGGGTCATTTTCCTTTAAGGCAAACTCAGGAAGGGCTCCCTGGAGGAGGCGAGGTTGGAACTAGCATTGCAGTTCTTGACCCAATTTCAGGGGATGCCAACTCTGCGTCCCAGGTCCCAGGGACGCTGCTATAGACGGTCCATCTTCTTTCTCTCTAGTGACAGCCAAACTAGATGCTGTGGCTGAAGTCAACTACAGTCTGGTGGCACCCCCAACAGTCACAGCTGAGACTCTGGATGTGGAGCTGAAGGTGAGACTTCCACTGAGATCACATTCCCTCACTCCTCTGCCTTAGACCCTCCTGAGGCTTCCTGTGGCTGAGATAGTCCTTGGAAATGACCTGTAATGATCCCTTCCCATCTGCCTTATCATCACCCTCCTCTCTGCTCTCCTCCACCTCTCCCTTCTCCAGTCACACCCACTGCCATTCCTTTGCACTTGCCTCTGCCTGAGGTGCTCTGCCCCAGATATCCACACAGCTCTCCCCGCTTTCTTCAAGTCTTTGGCCAAAGATCCCCTCCCTGGAGAGGCCATCCCAGACCAGTCTCCCTGAAATAGCTCTCTCCTTTCCCCCCATAGTCTGCTTTATTACTATCACACACACACACCATCTCAAGTCTGTTTCTCTCACTATCACGTGAGAGAGGGGCTGTAACTGTTTTGTTCACTGTTGTATATACAGCACCTAGAACTGTGTTTGGTGTATAGTGAGTGGGCGACTGCATGGGTGGGTAAGTGGGTGGAAGGATGGATGGATGGATGGATGGATGAGTGGAGGGGTAAGTGGATAGATGTGTGGGCGGATGGATGGATGGGTGGAGGGGTGGATGGTAGCTGGGTGAGTGGATGGATAGATGGATGAATGGATGAATGGGTGTGTGGATGGGTGAAGAGGTGGATGGGTGGGTGAGTGTGTGGATGGATGGATGGATGGATGGATGGATGGATGGATGGATGGATGAGTGTATGGGTAGATGGGTGGATGGATGGATGATGGATGGATAGATGGATGGATGGATGGATGAGTGGATGGGTAGATGGATGGATGGATGGATGGACCACTGACAGTTGGACAGGTGGGTGGAGGGATGGGTGTGTGGGTGGGCAGATGAGTGGGTGAAGGGATGGGTGAGTGGTTGGGTGGGTTTCTGGGTGGATGAATGGATGGGTGGGTGAGTGGATGGGTGAATGGGTGGATGGGTGGGTGGGTGACTGGGAGGATGGATGGTTAGGTGGATGGCTGGGAGGATGGGTAGATGGATAGTTGGGTGAATGGATGGATGGGTGAGTGGTTAGGTGGGTGAGCAGATGGTGGATAAGTGGGTGGGTGGGTAGATGAGTGGGTGGATGGATGGGTGGAGTTTCATGTCCTGCCTCTCTCCGTCACTCGCCACCCTCCTACCAGACACACTGACCATACAGTTCCTAAAATACATCAAGCTTGTTCTACCTCTGGGCCTTTGTCCTGGCTGTTCCCTCTGCCTGGAACTCCCTTCCCTCCCAATACCACCTCTGCTGCACTGGCTTCTTATGGTGCCCCATAGGGGCCTCTGCTCCACTGTCACTCCAGGGCAGCCTTGCCCACCACCTCAGCTAAGGGGGTCTCACTCCCTGGAATTCAGTCCTTCCAGAACTGGTGATTTGCTTGTTTGTTCCAAAACACATTCAATATGAAAATGAAAATTTAGAAACCACAGAAATAAGTAGATAGGAAGGAAGGAAGAAAAAGAGAGAAAAATCACCTAAGTCTTACAACTCATAGATAAGCACTGCCAATACACAAGGGTAGAGCCCTCTAATTCTGTGTCTTTACGTGTGTGGTGAGGAAAATACACACACACACACACACACACACACACACACACACACACATACATACACACACAGAGGGATACACATACAGGCATAGAAACAAATACACACAAAACCCACGATCTAGACACATGAATAAATGCACACAAATACTCATATATATACATGGAAACACACATATACAGATTTGCATGTGTCATACAATACTCTCTGCTTTACAACTTTAAGAAATAGAAACGTACAAGATGAGCATCTTTGCCATCCATGGAATGCCCTCTTACAGCCCCTCACTGGCTGCTTGGCCTCTCAGTGGGGAACTTGGGGGGCAGTGGACTGTGCCCCTCCTGAGACACTTGGGATCTTCCTGTCTCTTCCACAAATGTAACCAAAGCTGCAGTGCCCATCCTTGCCATCGTATCTCTGCCCGTCCTTGAATAGCTCCTAAACATGGAATTGCTGAACCAAATGACGTGGTGGGAAAAAAACACCCACACACATCCAAGAGACATAGCAGAGCAAAAGATTAAAATGACACCTGAGGATCCGCAGTGAATGAGAAGGTCCTGCTTTCCACCCGGGCTCCTGCCCAGAGGTCACCACTGACAGCCGTGTGCGTGTTCACCTCCCAGGTTCCCAGTACCAGGCATTCACACAAACGCACAGGAAACCCATCTGGACTTAGCTGAGAATCTGTTTGCAGGAAAGGGTGCACACTGTTCTTCCAGGTGCTTTTCTCTCAATACATAGTGAAGGTGGTTCCTGGTCAGGGAACACTTGTTATTTCTTAGAGTTGCATAGAATTACATCAAGTGGGTGTCGTATTTGTTCTTCTAAATGGTAAAACAAATTCAAAGGTACAGAGAATGTTACACGCTTCCAGGTACCCACCACTCATATTTAAGTGTTACCATTGTAACACTGTTGGCTTCTGATTTTTAAAAATAAGACAGTGTGTAAATAGCTAGCAGAGGCCCCCTTGGACACCCCTCTCTAGACCTGTCCCCTGCCGTGGTGACCACACTGATGATGCCACTGAGCCTCCTTCCTGCCTTGCTGCTGTATTTTTTATGGGCCTCACAATTTGACACAACTGGTACCATGCCACATATATCCATTCTTAATTTACTTTTTTAAGTGCAGCCTTATTTTCTTGCTAAGTAAATGATCTGCTTGTGCAGCAAGTTGCCAGATTGCTCTTCAAAAACGGTTAACAGTCCAGTGACAAATGAACGCTCCCAGCAAATGCTGGATGGCATTGGTCCACACACACACAACACTCAAGACGATGCACCTCTTTTCAAATTCTGCTAATTTTATAGATGAAGCAAACAAACAGAATTTCACTGTTCCTTTTCTAGGGCTTCTGTGCTTATTAGTAAGGTGGAGGCCGAGACAATGGAGTGTGTCAGGGGCATGAGTGCTGGACACTGGATGTCTGGGTTCAATTCCTGGCTCAGACACTTATCAGCTGTGTGACCCTGGGCAAGTCACTTCACTCCCCTGTGCCTCAGTGTCCTCTCCCGATGGGCAAGAGTGTACAGTTGCTGTCCCCAGCCCATTCCTTCCTGGGATGGAGACATTGACTTACAATTCTGAAGGCAGTCTGGACTCACTCTGTTGCCTCCGCCACAGGGAGAGGTTTCCAGGCGGGACCACCACAGCCCACCTCCCTTTGCCCCGCCGGCGCTGGCACTTCCTGCCGTCCACGACCGCATGGTGTACCTGGGCCTCTCCGAGTACCTCTTCAACACAGCTGGGCTCGTGTACCAACAGGCTGGGGCTTTGAGCCTGGTTCTTAAGGACGACATGGTAAGGCAAGCTGTGGGTGGAAGCAGGAAGAGCCCTGACCTCAGAACCCAGCAGACCTTCGGGATCTGAAGCTTTGTCCACACTGAGGGAGATCAGACCTGGATTTAAACATTAGTCCCCCCTTTCCAGCTGGGTGACCTAGTCCATCACTCAACCTCTCAGAGCCTCACCAGATGTGGTGGTGTGTGCCTGTAGTCCCAGCAGCTCGGGAGACTGAGGTGGGAGGATGCCTTCAGTTCAGGAGTTCGAGGCTGCAGTGAGCTATGAATGCACCTGCGCTCCGGTCTGGGTGACAGAGCAAGACCCTGTCTGAAAGAAACAAAGAGAGAGAGAGAGGGAGAGGGAGGGAGGGAGGACCTCAGTTTTCTGATCTGTAAAACAAGAGTGAGGATCAAATGAGATACTAATGCATGAGAAGCACAGAACACAATGCTTAGCATGTAGGAATGAGCAGGAAATGCAGCAGCCGCCGTTGACTGTGACCCGCCACATGTTGGACTCTGTAACCATCTCAACATCGTGATGAGGCAGAGGCTGGGTAATTGAAACTGGGACATCCTATGAGGCTGATCTGGGGGCAGATTGGGCTTTCTCAGGGACAAAATATGGGGACACTGGCAGTTGCTGACCCTCTGGACCAACCGCGGCAGAAGGTGTGGTCTGGCTTCCGGACGAGTTGCTGTGGAGGTTGTGGGTCTGTGGTCCATTTGTGTGTATGGGCTAGCCATCGTCCGCTCGTGTGTTCAGTTTCTCACCCCTGCACAGAACGTGCCCCTCCTCTTGATCTAGAACAGGACCCCCAAGATCCCTCTCTCTTCTCTGGCTACAGATTCCCAAGGACTCCCCATTCCGTCTGACAACCAAGTTCCTCGGAACCCTCCTACCACAGGTGAGGCAGGGCTTGTTCTGTCTGTCAGCTCATGAGGTGATCTGGGGGCTCTGGGGAGGGTTCTGGAGCTTGGAAGTCCAAGACCAAGGTGCATACAGGCTCGGTTTCTAGTGAGGGCTCTTTTCCTGGCTCACAGCTGCCTTCTTACTGGGTCCTACATGGCCTTTTCTCAGTACTTACATGGTGGATGGTGGAAGAACTCTCTGGTATTTCTCCTCCTCCTCCTCCTCCTCCTCCTCCTCCTTCTTCTTCTTCTTCTCCTTCTCCTTCGCCTCCTCCTCCTCCTCCTCCTCCTTCTCCTCTTCTTCTCTTCTTCTTCTTCTTCTTCTTGTCAGGTTTTCATTCTGTCATCCAGGCTGGAGTGCAGTGGCATGATCATGGCTCACTGCAGTCTCAACCTTCTGGGCTCAGGTGATCCTTCACCTTACCCTCCTGAGTAGCTGGGACTACAGGTGCATGCCACCAGACCTGGATAAATGTGAATTTTTTTTTTGTAGGAAAGAGGTCTTATTATGCTACCTAAACTGGTCTTGAATTCCTGGGCTCAAGTAATCCTCCAGCCTCAGTCTCTCAAAGTGATGGGATTACAGGCATAAGCCACCATGTCCAGCCTCTGGTATCTCTTCTTAGAAGGACACTAAATCAATCGGATCAGGACCCCACCCTTATGACCTGACTTAACCTCAGTTACTTCCTCAGAGGCTCCAGATCCAAATACAGCCACACTGGCGGTTAAACCTTCAACATTTGAATTTGGGGAGAACACAGTCAGTTCATAATAGCCTTTCTGGTGATGGCACCTCAGAAATGTCCATACAGAGAAGTTCTGGTTTCGAGGAGAGGTGTGGTTGGTAGGGGCACCCAGGGGCATTGTCTTGAAGCATCATTTGCAGAATAGTCACATTATTTCTACTCAGACTATGGTTTACCTGGGGGTGCATTGGAGGTTAGGAGAGGTGGGGGAAGGGCATCAAGGTCTCCCTAGTTCCCCCTTGAAGTTACTACGGCTCTCTGAGATCTGAGCAGAGATCTCCCCAAGCTAGGGAGGACTATGTGGAAAAGCATTCAGCAAGAGGGAACAGAGAGTGCAAAGGAGTTTTAGATGGGAAGAGAGCTTGTTGGACTTAAGGCACAGAAAGGGTTCCCATGACTGGAGATGGAGAAAGGGTTCCTGTGGCTGGAAATGAAGGACCAGAGTAGAGGTGTGTGGGATGGGCTTGGCAGGGTGCCAGGCGCTGGGCTGTGCGGTCTTAGGATGTATTCTAAGACCAGTGGGGAGACATTGGAGGTGTTTAAACAGGGACAGGGCAAGATGGGATCTAGAAGCATTTCATAAAACCACCCCTCTATTGGTCGTCCCCACTGGGGACTGCAGGTGGCCAAGATGTTCCCCAACATGGAGGCACAGTTTCACATCTCAGTGTCCTCCCCACCACACCTGTCCATGCAGCCTGCCGGCCTGGCCTTCAGGCCCACTCTGGAGACCCAGGCCTTCGCCGTCCTCCCCAACTCCTCCCTGGCCTCCCTCTTCCTGCTTGGCATGGTAAGCTGCTCGGGGGTGTGGGCAAGTGGGGAGCCCTGGGTGGTGCCAAGAGCACTGCCCTTGGAGTCGGGAGACCAGGCGAGAATCCCGCCCAGATTCAGACCTGGACAGTGTGACTCCAGAGCTCCAGCCCCTGAGGCTAGAGCCACTGTGCCCAGTTGCCCTGGGTCCTGTGGCATTCATTCACCAGTCATTCATTTGTGCCTTTTTTTATTCATGCAATTATTCATTCACCCAATTTTTCATCCATTCAATTATTCATTCCATGTTGGCTTGAGATATGTGTACTATTTCCAATTCTATCACTTTTATCTTTAGTCATTCAGTGATGCATTTGTATATTTGTTCACTTATTCAATTATTAATTCATTCAACTGTTTATTAGATTGTTGACTTGAAATATGTTGTAGCTTTTCTGGCTCCTATATGTATTCATTTATTCAATTGTTCATTTACTTACGCCTTTGTTTAACGAATCATTCATTAGTACATGAGTTCATTCATTCATCCCTCATTTGTTTAGTTATCATTCATGCATCTCCTTGTTTAGTCCTTCATTTGTGTATTTGTTTCTTTATTTATCCGTGTTTTTACTCCATGGTTGATTTCTGCATTCATTCCTTGCTCACCCCATCACTTTGCAAACATTTAGTGGCATCTACTGTGGCCACTGGGGCTGTGGTCCAAGCTCCCCCATAGGAGGCACTGAGAGGCCTCAGGCAGGTTGGCTGGGTCTCAGGCTGAGACTCACTTTGCAGAATGGGTTCTGAGGGGTAACCCAAGGCTACACAGATGGAGGCCTGAGCACAGATGCGGTGGGAATCTTGGTCTTCTTCCTCAAGAAACATTTTTTGAATGAATCAGTGAATGAGTGGCTGTGAAAGCAGGGCCAGCCTGGCCTCCAGTCACAGGGCTGCCTCACACAGCCCCTCCTGGGTCGTCTGGGAACTGAAGTGGTCCCAGGGGCGGCAGGAGAAGATGGAAGCCCACTGGCCGTCCAGAACTCGACTGCCACAAAGCCCAAGGAAGGCTTCCTACTCTTCTGGCTCTGCGGCCTGAACGGCAGGGGGGACCACCCCACCAAGTGGGGCGAAGCTGGCCCTCCTGGTCTTGGGCCTCACACAAGCTCACCGGGGCTGTCACTTTGCAGAGTACGAATGCTTCCATGAAGGTCAGCGCCAGGTCTGAAAGAATTGTTGGCGAACTCAGGCTGGACAGGTAAGGGGGCTGTGGGGACAGATGAGGGGGCAGCCCACCGTTCTTGGTGTCCATGGGAGAGCAATGTGTTGTTGCTTTCCTGCCTAAGAGTCAAACAGCAAGAGATGGACACAGTATCCCCATTCTGCAGATAGGGAAACATGCCCAGAGACATGGTGATTTGCCCAAGTCACATGTTGTATGGTGACCAACCATCTTGGTTGGCCCAGGAGAGACTCCATCTTCACCCTGAAAGGCCTGTACCCTGGGACCTGTCAGTTGCATGGCTTGGGGGTAGCAGTCGGGGATGTGCTGAGCCACTATGGAGGCCGGCACCCTGCCCCCAGCCTTCCTTGAAACTTGGAAGTCGTATTTCAGCTCCTCATCCCACCCCTGGGACTTCAACAACCTAAGAGAAGCTGGAAGGCACCTGATCCGGGTGTGAATTCTGGTAGCAGAGCTTGTGGGTAGCTGTGAGGGCGCCGACATGAGGCTGCCACATTTGGAGCGCAGCTCACCTTGGTGAACACCAGCACTCTGCAGCCTCAGTTTCCCCAGCTGTCAAATCCGGGGGTTCGGATTCTGGGAAGCGAATTATTCTTTGCCAACAGTATCATTGTGAAGATTAAATGAGGTGTAAATGTGGACTGAAGCCTTGAAAATGCTTCAGGGTATATAATAAACACTCAATGAACAAGAGGGAAAGAGAAAGAGAAACGTGTAACGAGAAATGGAGAAAGAGACAGACAGACACAGAAAGAGGAAAACACTCAGAGAAAGAGACAGAGAAACTCAAAGGAAGAGAGGGTGGGAGGGGAGAGACAGAGAAAGAGAGAAAGGATGAGAGCAACAGAGACAGAAACAGATGGGGAGACACATTAAGAGACAGACACTCAGAGAGACAGAGGGAGGAGGAGACAGAGAGGAGACACTCAGAGAGACAGAGGGAGGGGAGACAGAGATGAGGAGATAGAGAAGGGGAGACAGAGAGGAGAGAAACCCAAGCGCATGCCCTGTACTTCTACCTGGCATCCACCCCTGGTCAGCCCCACTGGGGCCAGGAGCTCTGCCCCCGCCTCGGGCACAGGGCTTTGCTGTCACCTTGCCATGGGCTCCTAGGTTTCCATGCTGCTCCTTCCTCCTGGCATCATGTTGACAAGTGTTCTCGCTTCAGAAACGTGGATTTCATTTTTCTTGAAGTGCCTGGAGGCCACTCAGGAGGATACGGCTGGGTGTCAGCTGAGCCCAGACTCTGAAATACACAGGACCCGGTGCAGGGAGCAAGAACCCACAGGACAGGGACCCGGGGGTTCGGATTCTGGGACGCGAATACCAGTGTTCCATGGTGCAAAGTGCTGGAGAAGCAAGGGCATCGGCCTTGGGAAGCCGAGTTCTAAATCCTGCATGACTGATTGTCAGCTGCATGACCTGAGGCAGTCGCTTGACCCCTCTGAGCATCAGTTTCCTCATCTGTAACAGGAGAGCATGATGGCCCTGCTTCTTGGAGTGTTGCTGGAGTTCACCAGGATGAAGTCCCCCCCCCATAGTGAATGGTCCAATAAACAGTCGCATGTCTCCCCCTTTCTCTGAGATCACTGTGAAAATGCCATAAAGGCCATAAAAGGGGAATCATTTATTGGCTCAGGTAACTGGAAAGTCCAAGGTTTTCAGGCAGGAGTGGACCCAGGTGTCTAAATGATGTCCCTAGGAATCTGTCTCCATCTCTTGGCTCAGTTGTCCTCTCTGCTGACTCCATTCCCCAGCAGGCTGTCGCCAAGTGGTGGCAAAATAGTCACAAGGAGCTTCCTTGTTTTCCTGGAGAAAAGGGAATGCCTCCTACCTGACAGTCCCATCAGAAGTCCCAGGGGTGGGAGTGGACATGGGTGGGTATCCACTGGGGTGGGTCCCTTCATCCTGGTGCTTGGGTCCTCGCACACCCAGCACTTGGTGGTTTAGCCCCCCTCTCCTCTACAGGCTGCTCCTGGAACTGAAGCACACGAATGTTGGCAACTTCCCGGTGAGTCTGAGGGCCTCGATGGCTCCTTCCTTGTCCTGATCTGAGGGGGACATATCACAGGCTCGTGGCATTATTTGGCTTCATTTGCATGTAATTTGGTTGTGAACTAGTGGTTCTGGGAGTTTTATGGGCAGGGAGACCTGAGTGGGCGTCCCTGCCCTGTGCTTACTGACCATGAGGCCTTGGGCAAGTCATTGCCCTTCTCTGAATCCAGCCTCTCCCCTCCTGCATTGGTGTGGTGAGGTTTAAATGAGACTAAATGTGCACACTCCGGTACAGAAAATGTGCCCAACAAGTATTTGCTAACCAAACACAGTAACTACTACATACCGGGCACTGCTCCAGGTGGGAGGTATGTCAATGAATGAGACAGGCATGTGATGACGTCCCAGAGCCTCACGTGGTGGTGGGGAGACAGACAGTGAGAAAAGTCACAGTCATGGCTATGGCAACCCAAATGGGGGTGGGGTAGAAAGTGATGGGGAGAATTAGGTGTCAGAGGGTGTGATGAGGGAAGGCCCCTCTGAGGAGATGATCTTTGGACTGAAGGGTGAGAAGGAGCCAGCAGAAGGACTGGCAGGAGCAGAGGCCCTGTGGTGGGAGACAAGCTTGGCATGTCTGGGGAATGGAGGACAGGAGCGATTGGAACAGGGCAAGCAGGAGGCATTGGAGGAGATGTGGCCAGAGACGCAGATGGCGGTTGGCTCCCCCATGGCTTTCCGAGCCAGGGGAGAGGAAAGTGAATCGCGCTGAACAGCATTGAGCCGTCAGTACACTGTCTCCTGCAGGGAGGAACATGACCTGGTTTACACCTTAGTGAATGCCCCTGGCTGGCCTGGCATAGCGGAGATGGGTTACAGACCGGGATCAGTGGGGGGGGGGTGTCTGTCCAACTGAGGCGAGGGCTGGGACTCGGCCAGAAAGGAGGGAAAACGCAGTAGGACAAGATTTTGGAAGTGACTTTAGACAGACCTTGGTGAGAGATGGGGCATGTGTGTGGCGAGGGAAAGGACTGTCAAGACGGTTCTAGAGTCTGGGATGGAGCCACTAGGAAATGGCAGAATCTTTCATGGAGATGGAGTGAGGGCCAGTCGGAGGGGGAGCAGTCATCCTTCCACCGCCCAAGTAGGTGATTCTACCGCCCTTGCTGTCCTCCCCAGGGCACTGACAGTGGGTTGACCCTACAGAGAGTAAGCACTCGTCCATGCCATCTGACATGGCCACCCTGTGTCCACCCTGAGTCTTACATCAGCAGCCCTGGTGTGGTGATTGTGGCCAGGGTCTCACCGCACTGACCTGAGTCTGCTGCTGGGTCTCTGGTTGACCCTAACATCCACGGCTCCCACCACATAGTACCTTGTGAGCCACCCAGCCCCAGAGTCCTTTGTCCCAATGTCCCCTCCAAATCTGTATGGATCGAGCCAGTCGTTTCCATCTAATGAGATTACAATAAACAGGAGGACCGAATGCAACTTCATTGTATTTTCATGGATTTACTGGTACCAAGGATCTCTTGGTGGCTTGCCTAAGTCCATAACTAACTTCTGTTTCTGCAGAAAATAAAAAGTTCCTAGGATTCTTAAGAAGGAGGGCCCTACATTCAGATAGCCCAGGGAATTATAGCCCAGGGAAAGAAACTCGATTGTTCCAGAAACAAAAATGCATACATTTACAAGTTGTAAAAGTCACCACTACAGGAAATCATCTTGAGGGTTGTATACTATTTTTGAATTTTTAAAATTATTTTCAAAGCAAGACACATGTACTATAGAGCAACCAGAACCTGCAAATTGGCAAAACAAAGGAAAGAAAAACCATATTTCCATCACTTAGTTAATAATTTGGAACATACCCTCCTTGACCTCTTGCTATGTCTGTTTAATTACAAAATGGAATTATGTGATTTCTACAGCCTGTTCTTCCTCACTCAATATATCACAAATATCTCTGTGTTGGTCATTATATTTCTTCAATACCATTCTTAACAGTTGTACAATGCATCACCATCTACCCCAAGTGATTCCCCTGTTGCCGGACATGTGGCTTGCTTTTAGTTTGTTCTGGTTAAATGTATCTCTTTGGCAACCATGCTTACATTCATATTTTTGCCTTCATTATTTCCTTAGGAGGCATGCTTGCTGACACAAAAGGCACACACATCTGTAACGTTTTTGATGGTTTGCCAAATACCCGCCCCAAAAGGCGGATTCAATCTGTCCTCTAGTCTGCAGGGTTTCACAAAATGCATTTTGGTAAAACAAGTTTTTTCCCGGTTTGAACGCTCTCTGGTGACCTTCCTCATCATTGTCGTGAGCTGGAGGAAAACCTTGTACTTCACCACCCAGAACATGCTTTACGTCTGGAACCATTAGAGCAAAAAAGCCACCTCCATGACCCTGATCGGGCTGCTGAGTTTTCACACACTATGGTGTCCATCTCAGTGGTTCTCCCAGCTGGGAGGCTGCTGAGTGGTGCGGGTGGAAGAGGGCAGGGGTGACGAGGACGGCTGGCCCTGCGGTGCCCTGAGATGTGGTTTGTTCTCCTTTGGGTTTCAGGTTGAACTGCTGCAGGCTCTCATGGACTATGTGGTGCCCACGCTTGTGCTTCCCAGGGTTAACCGTAAGAAAATTTGTGGTCCTGGGGCAAGAGGGCAGAGTTGACGACCTAGAGGCACCTGACATCTGGCCCCAGGTGGGAGGGCTGGTCACCTTAAGCAAATCTCGGGCAGCATCCGACCAGAAAGGGGATGGAGCACAGAGGAAACTCACACAGGCTGAGTGGCCATGGCTCCTCCATCGCGTGGCCCTCACAACGGCCCCGGAGATGGAGGACTACTAGGATCATCTCCAGTTCTCACGGAGGACGTGGAAGACCAAAATGATGATGGGACTCATCTCAGGTCACAGAGCAGGCAAGAGGTTGAGCTTGGGTTTGACCCCAGCTCTGAAGCCAGAGCCCGTCATCTTTTCCTGATTCTGGAAGAAACTCAGGGGATCTCCTGCTGACCCCAGTGAAGGGCTTCAGGCAGGCCCACCCCTAGTCTTTAAGAGCCAGGGCCAAAGTACAGATAGAGGCCCACAAGCCTGTGCTAGGATAATTATACATTAAAATTAATGCCCCAGGCTGGGCTTGGTGGCTCAGCCTGTAATCCCAGCACTTTGGGAGGCTGAGGCGAGAAGATTGCCTGAGCCCGCGGGTTCGAGACCAGGGCAACTTGGCAAGACCTTGTCTCTGCACTATATCAAAAAAATTAGCCGGGCGTGGTAGCAGTAGTTCCAGCCACTTGGAAGGCTGAGGTGGAAGGATCGCCTGAACCTGCAGGTGGAGACTGTGGTGGCCATGAGCATGCCACTGCACTCCAGCCTGGGCAACCGAGTGAGACTCCAACTCAAAAAAGAAAGAAAGAAAGAAAAGAAATTAACGCAGCAGACTGTCATATAGAGTGTGACACATCTACCCCATGATCTAACCTCCTACCTTGGCAAATGTAGCGTCATAAGGACCTGGGAGACCAGGCTCAAATTTAGAATTCCCCGAGTTCCACGCCAGAATGACAGCATGATAGGGAGTGGGGGAGGTGCTGGTCCCAGCTGCTGCCCATCTCTGGCTTTATCCTAAACATTGAGGGTCTTCATGCACGCACATGTAGATCCATGCTGGGGCGTGGTGTACACCAGCAGTGCTGTGTCCTCAGCCGTCATGGGGAAGAGTCACGCAAGTCCTGGGGCTGATGCAGGACAGGGGAGGGCAGGCTCCGGGCAGCCTCCCTCTCAGGGTTAGGCCCATGCCAGTCCCTGCCCACGGCCAGGCACACTGGGCCAGGGAGGCTGCCCGCCCTGGTGCTCTGGCCTCCCCTCCACCTGGTCCTCACCTCTGGTCTCCAACACAGAGAGGCTGCAGAAAGGTTTCCCTCTCCCGATGCCCGCCAGGGTCCAGCTCTACAACCTGGAGCTTCAATCTCACCAGGTGAGTCCCCAGGTCTCTTTTGACAACTCTCCCATAACAACATCGACCGGTAGCTGCGACGCTTCCTCTGTGTGTGTGCTGTTGCTAAGCAGAGATGGCGGCCGAGGTTCAGAAAAGCTGAATGTGTTAAACAAAGGCCAGATTCAAAGCCAGCCCCAACTTAGAACCAGGGCTGATCATTCCCACACCACACTCAGCAAAAATGGGACTCAGTGTGGCCAAGTTGCCTCTTTAATAAGGTGGGTGCCTGTGCGTATTTCACAAACACACACGGCGTCCTTCTTGTGCATCCAGACTCATGCTAGGCACAGGGGGGTCCAAGACGTGGTCAGTGGCTGGCAGATTTAGACACGGCGCAGAGGGCTCCTAGCAGCTTCCGCTCAGCCTGACCTCCACCACATTTGACACGGCCCTGGCCTCGGCACACCTTCCTTTCCCAGGTTCCCGCTGCCCCCTGGGCTGTTGCCATCTCCTCTGCGTGTCCGCTGCTCCTTCTTTGCAAGCTGGAGGTCTCCTGGGTTCCAGGCTCCCCTCTGCCCCCACTGTTGGCTGTGCTCAGTCACTCTCATCAACCCCTCTGGCTGAACTGCCACCGTGTGCCACCCAGTGGCCCAGCCCTCTTATTTTTCCCAACTCCCGGCTTGTGCACTTCTGGCTTCCTTATGTCTCCTCCCTGTGGCTCCTCAGCCTGGCTCATGCCAGCAAAGCTGTTATGTCCACAGCAAAACCATCACCCCACACTGCCGTCCTCACCTTGGCCAAGGGCTGTCCTGATCACCTGTGGACCTCATGGGAAACCCCCACGTCCCCCGGATTCCTCATTCTCCCTCACCCCGATGTGCAGTCTGTCAGTCCCCAGTTCTTTAGCCCAGGGAGCTTGTGAGGTCGAGAGACCGTGGAAAAGTGGCCAAGAAAACAGAGAAAATGCATCCTCACGCTCCCACATTTCACTGGGTTCCCCCCATAGCACAATTTCATTTCTCCATTTCTAAGCTTCGGAGTGAAGGACACAGAGGAGCAGAGAAAAGAATTCTGCAGCCTTGACTGGAGCCAGGGCTCCCTTGAGCTGCCACGAGGCAGAGATGACAAATGAAACCCCCAAAGCAGCCTGGAGCTCGGCGTCTGAGAAGGCGCAGCTGCCGGGGAAGGTGCTGGCTGATTCGCTGGCAACCCCTGATATGCAGACCCCAGCGGTGAGACCCTGAGTGCTCCCCACCAGCCCTGACAGCAGTCAGAGCTCACTCTGCTCCTTCCCAGCGGGCGGGCTCCAGAAAGGCCTGCTTAAAGCCCCAGCAGCCCCACACTCACAAACAGGTCATCTCCAGCTGACAACGTGCTCCCATCTCTCCCCAGAATTTCCTGATGTTCGGCGCAGATGTCCGCTATGCCCGAAGTCGCCGGGGTGGTGGGGCTGTCCGGTCATGCCCGTTCCGGTTTCTCAGGGGTCCATTCTAGATCTTGACCAGGAGCCCCTCGTTCAGATTCAGGAATGATGTCAACAGGGGAACCCTGTTCACTGGAAAATTGCGTGGTGTCTGTTTTAGGGAGTATGAGCTTCTTTCAAGGGTGAAGGTTGCACAGGTATTTCTTCTAGAAATTGTGCTTCAGTTGTGCCCATGACAGTTTGTGTGTGTGTGCGTACTTCACGGAGAAAAAAAAAAAACCCTCTGTCTTTTCCTGCAGATTCTGTGTGTTGGTGTTGCTTCTTGTTTTGTGTTCATCTATTTATTTACTCACTGGCTGTATCCAGTGGTGCCAACAGCGCCAGTTTACAGCACAGATACAGTCACCTCTTTTTTTCCCATAATTAATCTGTTGAGTCCCCACACACCTACATGAGCAGAAAGCGTCATGTTCTCGGTGTCCTTGGAGTTTCTTAGTCCACATTCCTAACGTCACAAGGGTCTAAGGAACCCATCAGCCCACCGAGCTGTTGCTCTTGCCACTGCCACACGGTGTCACCGTTGAGCGGCGAGGCTGCAAAGCCGACGTTTTCCTGTGTAGTCCTCAGTCGGCTGAGACTGTTGTTCCTGTCATCACCACTCGGTGTCGCTGTTGAACATCTTCCCGCACAGCCTGTCTTCCCGTCCCCACACTGGGGCTCCCTGGGGGGTGACTCTCCGGTCCAGCCACTGTGCCCAAAGCAGAACTCTGGGCCAGTGACCAAGGTCACTGAGGTTTTCCGCTTCAGCCATATCTTTGGGGGCAATTAGCACCCCATGACTCTCTGGGCCCTGGTGTGGATGCCAGCTCACCACAAGGCAGACTGTCTTTGGACTCCTGGGGAGTTTTCCCAGGGGCTTTGGGCCTTTCCTACCATGGGACACCAGGTGGGGCTGTCTCAGGGCACGAGATGGGTTTTATGGCCTTGTGCTTCAAACTGACTGAGGAGTCCTGGAAGGCCTGTCTACGCGGTGGCGTTGGGTCTGAGGTCAGAAGGATAAGCAACAGCACACCTGAAGAACTGAAGCAGACTGTGGAGTGGGTCGACACGGCCAGGTTTAGCCTTTCAAATGCATTGTTGTGACTTCTAAAAGCATCAGAAGGGCCAAAGTGGAAGGGGTGGGCACCAAGCCGAAACCTCTTGTCATTCAGCCTTCAGCCAGGTGGGCAAAATCGGAGACACATTTGCAGCAAAGACGAGCAGATAAAGGGCATTTATTTTATTTTTAAAGAAAAATGTACACACGTCTGCCAACACTGACTCTCTGTTAGGGCTCCAGGGCCACTCAGGAAGGGAGAGTCCTTGATCAAGCACTCACAGGAGTCAGCAGAGACATGGACGATCTCAGCTCATCCTTACAGCTGTCTCCACGCCCTATGATGGGCACCATCCGGTCCTTTTGGAGTGAGCTACTCCCCCCAGATCGCACAGCTGCTGAGTGGCAAAGCTCGAACTCCCACCCTATCTGGCATCAGAGCCCCTGCTCTTTCCAGTCCTGCCAGCCATCAGAATCTTGTCTGTTTGGGGGCTTAGCACTTGACATGTTTCAGGCAGGCCTGCTGTGTTCAGTTGCACTGGTTGTGCTCTGTAAAAAGGCACCAGGTTCAGGAAACAAAAATCTTCCTCTAATTGTCCACCAGGAGAGTGTGTCTTTTTCTATGCTCCAAAGACTAGTGGAGACCCCAAATAGGAACAGAAGAATAGCCAGTAAGGCCAGGAGGAAAGCATGAGATAGCTGGGAGGCCAGGAAGGGTATCCAGGACACTGTGTCTGTTCCAAAAGATAAAGGAAGCCACTGGAGAATCTGGAGCAGGAGAAAGTCACAGTCCAGCTCATAGCTTTAAAAGACCCCTCTGGCTGCTGTGGGAGAACAACTGGCAAGTGCAGAGAGACCCTTGCCCTCCCGTACCCTTCCCTTTGGAGATAATTGGCTTCTTGCACCTGCCTCTACTTTCCAAGACACAGGGGTGGCTCCCGCTCCACTCTAGAAAACATGCAGCTATTTCTTAGACCTGGAGACGGGTGTGTGGAGCACAGTGTGCCTGGGGCCTCTCTCCGGCAGCTGATGAGGGGCAGTGGTCTGCGGGCCAGGGTTTGCGGAGGATCCCCACGCCCTCCAGAAGCTGCTGGGCTGCCTGCCGAGCCGCCACAGACCAGCCTCTCCCTTCGGGCTGAGCATTGACTGCTCCGATGACGGTCACGGAGTGGGGCTTCAGACGGTGGTGCTGAAATGTTCTAAATTAGAGTGGTGATGGTCGCACAACTCTCTGAATATATAAAATCATTGAACTATACACTTTAAGTAGGTGAATGTTATGGCACATGGAATATGTCCATAAAATTGTTTTAAACAAAAGAAAGAAAGAAAGAAAGAAAGAAAGAAAGGAAGGAAGGAAGGAAGAAAGAAAGAAAGAAAGAAAGAAAGAAAGAAAGAAAGAAAGAAAGAAAGAAAGAAAAGAAAAGAAAAAACAAGAATTGTCCACAGCCGACTGCCCAAAAGCTCACCATTCAGCCACTTCCCGTCCGGGATAACCATTGCCCTCTAGAGGCTCCTTTGGGAAATGCTGATTTATTACATATGAGGGAGGGGTAACTCGCGGGAGGAGGGAAGGGGGAAGTGGGTCACATGGAGAGTAACTGCTGTCCTCAGGCTGCCATATCACGCATGCTGCCCTGGGTTGATCCCTTCAGGCTCGTTACCCCATTCAGTCCTCAGGAGGGTTCCAAAGGTGGACAGGGTGGCTCTCACTCTCCACATGAGGAGTCTGTAGGGAGGCTGTGTGGCCGGCTGAGGTGGCCTGGCTCAGTGTTCAGAGCCTGGGCTCTGGAGTCACTGGCCCTGGTTTCAAACATTATCCCGGCCTCCCACGGGCTGCGTGACTTTGCAAATGATACTTACCCTCTCTGGTCCTCTATTTCTTCCTCTGAAAAGGAGAGGTAAAACCCTGCCCTCTTCTTTGGCATGAAGTTGTCAGGAAGAAGGAGCTATAACTAAGCTCATGGCACAGTGATTAAGGACACAAGCTGTGGTCCTGGACATCTTGGGTTCAATTCTCAGCTCTGCTGTTTACCAGCTGTGTGACCTTGGGCAGTTGGCTTAATTCTCTCATCTCTGATTTTCTCATCTGTAAAGGGAACGCTATAACAGTACCTACTACATAGAGCTGTTACGAGAATCAAATACATGTAAAATACAGAAGTCGACAGGAGCAGTCTAGGATAGCGCCAGTGTTAATCAGCCCAGTTCTTCTCACTATACTGAAAAGACTGTGTCTGCCCTGCCATGTGTGTATTCCTGAGGCCTGCCACAGAGTAGGTGCTCAATTATATTTACTGTAAGAATGGCCTGTGGTTGAAACCCGCATGTGTATGTGGTCAGTGATTCTCTAAGTGCGGCCCAGGGCTGTCTGCCTGGACGGGCCTGACCCAAGACTCCATGTCTGGGCTAGCAGAGGGCTAGGCTTCTCTCGGGTTCAGCAGTGGGCTCACAATGCAGCCTGCGCCAGCCCTTTTCTTGTGCCAGGCCTCAGTTTTCCCATCTGTTAAGACAAGGGCTCTGTGGAATCAGGAAAAGAAGTCAGTACGGTGGGCTCTGGCAAATGCGGAAAAATCTCTTCTTGCTGAGAAATGTTCATTTTGACAGAAGCTCCTTGGGGTCTCCAAAGCTGTCAAGGCCCAGTGAAATGAGGCTACTGTGGGACTTTCAATGTGGCCAATTGCGGAGCGGGCTGGGGGGGGGGAGATGGGACGTCCTGGAGTCCCTAGGTTCCTCCTGGGGGGAGGGGCTGCGCAGCCACACCGCCAGCCCTGTTCCAGGGGCTCCTGCATTCCGAGTAGATGACACCAGCCTTCAAACCACAAAGGATTCATTGGCATTCCTATTTTCATTTTGTAAATCCACATGTCTCAGGGCTCATAGTGTGTGTGCATGTGTTTGCATGCATGTGTAGCGTGTGTACGTGTGCCTATATGACTGCAGGGGCTGGGGCAGGGGACTGCCATAAATATCAAACCCCAACTCCTAAGTACCCTGCAGAGATTGAGACCTGCAGACCTTCATGACATCAGCCTCTTTCAATAAGAGCCGACATGTTGTCAGGAGTGTGACCGCCACAGAACACGAGGGGAGCGGAGTTTCAGAACTGCTGAGCTTGGAGGGAACCTGGGGCTTGGTTAGTCCCTTGCTCCTGAAGCACGAAGTTCAATCTGCGGTCAGCAGCAACGCTGCGCCTGGGAGCTTGTTAAAATAGAGAGGCTCAGCCCCACAAAGCAGCCGGATGACGAGAATTTACACTTAAACAAGATCCCGGCGGTGGTGGGGGGGAGTGGATTTGCTGCACTCTCCAAAAAGCATTTCCAGAAAGCTGTCCCAGACCTTGCCCCGGTCTGCGTTTGGGCGGAGTTCGCCCCAGGCCCCACAGCCCAGCAGGAGCAGAGCCGTGTTAAAGACCTGTTCAGACTCTGGAAAAGAATTCCAGGCTTTCTGTGGGAGGCAGGCAGAAGCCACACTCAGAATCACCAATGGTGTCCAGCCAGGTCCAGGCGGGAAAGCGGGCCCCAGCTGGATGGCTCCTGGGGTTTGAAACTGTTTGAGAGTTGGGGACAAGCTTGCAGGAACAGACCTGGGACTAGCCTCCCTGGGCTCCGAGCAGCCAAGAAAGGCTTGGAGCATCCCGGCCCAGAGAGCAGGAGCCACAGAAGCGGGTGGGGTGGGGAGGGGCTGGGGTTGCCAGGAAGCCCACAGCCGCTGCCAGAGCTGCGATCAAGAGAAGGGCGCCGAGAAAGTGCTTGTCCCCTGACCTCTTGTCATACTGCCTTTTGATTGAGCCCAACTAAAGATGAGGAAACTGAGTCACAGAGTGCCCAAGGTCATCTGGTGGGAGAGCTAGGACTCAAGCCCAGACCGTCTGGCCTCAGAGTCCATAAAGACAAATGTGAAGTTTGTTCATTCCTTCGTCAATTATCTACTGTGCTCTGTTCAGGGTCCCAGACAGTGTGGACTCCACATTCTGGGTTTTCCAAAGTCTTTGCCATCAAGACTTTTGTAGTCAGAACATAGTAAACACCAACCTTGTTAAGACAGAGTTTTTTCTGTAGTAGGGTGGTGGCTGGAGCGGTGACAGCTGCCACTTTTGTGGAAGTGGAAGGACAGCCTGGCAGAAGAAGGGCTCAGAGGTTCTGGCCAGCATTGGGGTCACGCTGCTCCCCACAACCTCTGCTGGGTCCTGGGCCATCAGCAGGGATTTCAGCCAGGGCTGAGTGCCTGCGGGGGGCGGAAGCCTGGCCTGAGCCACATGGCATGCTGGCCGCCTGCTGGGCAGCTCTAAGGTCCAAAGGTCACGGCTGTGGGTCATTCCCACCCCCCGCAAACGGCTCCCAGCTGGGGCCATCCTCAAACTGCAGCCGGAGGAAGAGTGACGTCCATGTTCCCATGAGGTCCCCGCTCTCCTCCCCACCTGGACAGGAAGCAGCAAGCAGAGCGCCCCAGGTACCTGGAACACGCCTGTGAGCCCCCCTGCCCAGGGCTCTACAGGCTGGCTCCTCAGCCTTGGGTCTCGCCTCAGCTCACCACCTCCCAGAGGCCCGCGCTGCCCGGCGTTCTGGAATGGCAGCCCAGGCCTGGGCTCCAGCCCCTGCTGGGCAGCTGTGGCCCACATGGCTCCACACCACCGAGCCTCAGGATCTGCACCTCGCCATGGGGGTGCCATGCAGGGTGAGGGGAGACTCACAGCCTCACCAGCATGGCACCTGCACGGAGCAGGGTTTGATAAATACCGGCTTCCTTCCAGTCCACAGGTTGTGCTGGGGCCGCAGGATCTGGAAGGCTCCGTCCTGCCCTCAGGGACCAGCCAGGCTGGTGGGTGGGACAGATGCGAACACCGGCAAACCTCGGCCCCAATGACAGGAATCACACGGTACAGACCAGAGAGGTTTGGGCGGGGGGGCTCCCTGTGCTGAACATGGGACGTTCTGACCTGAAGTTTGTGTCTTCCAGAGCCATCTGTGACCCACTGGAAAGGCACCTGTCACTCCCACCTCATGGATTGGTTGAGACAGTCACCAAGACCCACCCATCCAAGGGAAGGAGAGAGACTCCATCTTTTGATGGGAGGAGTATCAACTAATTTGTGGACATATTTTTAAAAGACTTACAATTACCAAAAAGCAGAGAGTGGTTGATACTATGATGGAAAAAATGCAAGGGATTCTGGGGCCTCAAAGGGGGACCTTTCTGTAATTCCAAGAAACATGGAGGTAGTCAGGGAAGGCTTCCTGGAGGTGAGGACAGAGCAAAGCTCACAAACATAGAGTGCTGGGGCAAAACTCTACAAAGGAAGCACAATCCCTACTATAAATTTTGATTTCCAAAATGAAATTATATCATCTTTACTTACTGCAATTATAACATATGCCCAGAACCATACCCCCAAGAAATAAAAATTTTAAATATCAACAAACAAAAAGATTTTTTAAAACACCCATAATCCAACCATCCAACCAGAGACAACCCTTCATAACTCCTTGCTAAATCTTTTCCCAATCGGTAAACATGGAAACCTATTTTGAACAGCAAAATTAGAACCTTCCTCTAAGATGCCATTGCGAGCCAACCCTACAAGAGCGTTTATTCCCATAACGAACCCATTTTGCAGCCTTACTTCAAACACGTGTCAAGTTCATTTGTCCAGTGCCCGTCTGTTGGATACACTAGTTTGGGTCTTGCTTGTTCCTCCCTGTTTCACACAGCACAGCAATGGCATCTTAGTGCAGCGACTTGTTTGCACAAGGACCTAGTTACATAGTTAGGGGCAAGTTCCAGAAGCAGAATTCCGGGATCACAGGGCACACAGCTGTTTAAGGATTTGCCAATCGCCTTCCAGAAAATGTTGCCACCAGAGAGGTTTGAGAATGCCTGCTTTCCTGTGGGGGAAACATTTAATTTTCATTTTTAATTTTATTTTTTGAGTCGGAGTCTCACACTGTCACCCAGGCTGGAGTGCAGTGGCATGCTCACAGCCACTGAAGCCTCGATCTGCTGGGCTCAGGTGATTCTTCCACTTCAACTTTCCAAGTAGCTGGAACTATAGGCATGCGCCCCCACGTCCAGCTAATTTTTTGAGTTATTGTAGCGATGAAGTCTCACCATGTTGCCCAGGCTGGTCTTGAACCCCATGGGCTTAGGCAATCCTCTCGCCCCTGCCTTCCAAAGTACTGGGATTACAGGCGTGAACCACTGCCCCTGGTCAACATTTAATTTTTAAGTAGAGTTGAGTATCACAGAGAGAGTTTAGATGGCGCCAGATGTGGCTTCAGTCTCAGTCCTGCCATTTGCTGGGTGTGAGATCTTAAGGGAGTAATGTGGCTTCTCAGAGCCTTAGTTTCCTGGTCTACAAAACCAGGCCTTCCTAGCTGAGCTCTCAGGAGACAGGCAGAGATGAGGCGAGCTGAATGGAGGTCTTTCTGTGGGAAGGGTGGGCAGGGATGATCTCTTGGGGCCAGGACAACTCGCTCTCTGATCTGGGCATTGACAACTGGCTTCTGAATATGACCCGTGACCCCAGTGGTGTCGTAAGGTGTTCCAGCCCCTGTGCCTCCCCTTCCCGCTTCCAGGAGCCGCCCTCCCTCAGGACCCACCCCTAGCTCTGGGCCTGGATTATGTAAGGGCACTGGACTCAGCCCACAGCTGTGAGTCCTGGCCCACCCGCTGAGAATTCAGGATGGGGTCCTTGGCTGGGACCCTGCTGTCCATACTGCTGGGGTTGTTGCTCACATCCACCCCAAGGGCCCTGAGTGCCAACCCGGGACTGGTCGCCAGGATCACCAACAAGGGCCTGGAGTATGGTAAGAAGCTGCGGCTGCTGGCCTGACTGGGCAGACCCAGCTCCAGGCTGCCATGGGCACAGCGGGGAACAGAGACTGGGCGCACTCCCTGGGTGGTGCAGCCTTCTGGCTCAGGCAGCTCCGGGTAGGACTCTGGCCTTGTCAGCCACCAGCTGAGCAACTTGAGCAGTTACTTGCTGTAGCTGGGTCCCCACCAGCAGCCAGAGACAAAGATGTAGGTGCAAGCTGGCAATGTGGGGCACGACTCTAGGAAGCACGGGGGAGTGGGAACTGAGAAGGGGGAGGAGGCAGCTGAGAACGTGTCCTGAGACCAGCAACCACCTCACCTCCATGATGGAGCACCCGCTGGGAAAATTCCTGGCAAAGTCTGAAAACACACGCCTTCAAACTAGGAGTCAGAATCGTGGTTACCTCTAGAGGCAAGCAGAGGTTCTGAAGGACACAAAGGAGGCCGCAGGGGTGCTGGAATGTGCTATGTCTTGATTGGGGTGGTGAGCATGTGGGTGTATAAAAGTTTTAAAGTTACTTAGCAATATCTTTAAAATTTTTAGGTCAAATGCATTGACTCATGCCTATAATCCCAATGCTTTGGGTGGGTCACTTGAGGCCAGGAGTTGGAGACCAGCCTGGGCAACACGAGACCCCTATCCCTATAAAAAAAAGTTTTTCTTTTTTTAATTAGCTAGGCATGGTGGCATGCCTGTAGTTTCAGCTACTTGGGAGGCTGAGACAGGAGGACCGCTTGGGCCCAGGAGGTTGAGGCTGTAGTGAGCTGTGATCACACCATGCAATCCAACCTGTATGACAGAGCAAGACCCCATCTCTAATATAAATAAAATTAGTGCCTATGAGGCACTTTCTGTATGTTATTTCTCAATTATAAACAATGGGGGGAATAGGACTATTTCTTTAAAAGATGCTGAAACAAGGCCTCAGAATTATCCTGTCCAAGTAGCAAGGGAGCTAGGGTATTTATACGCCCCAGGGACTGAGTGAGGGCTTCCAGGCTGAAGGATAGCAACTCCCCAGCACTTTATCCCATTGCATGCACTAACTCCTCACAACTCCCAGACAAAGAGGCCAGAGAGGCAGGCGCTGGCAGCTGGGAATCAGCTGTCTCTCACCAGAAACTCTCAAGGACATGAGTGGGCACAGCTGGCACGAGCACCTCATCTGCTAAATGGGACAATAACATTCCCTTGGTAGGGTTGTTGAGAGCCCAGATTGGCTCAAGGCAGAGAGAGAGAGAGAAATCAGGGAAGGCTTTCAGGAGGAAATGAGGTAGAAAGTCAGTGAGACTTACCAAGGGTGAGGGGCAGTGTTCCAGGTAGAGGGACCCTGGCACGTGCATTTGCCAGAAGGAGAGGAGCTCGCTGGAAAGAGGTGAAGAGGAGGCCACTGGTCGCTGTGTGCACACACCTGGCTGGTGGTGGAATCCTCAGTCCTTGGGTCTCAGAACAAACAGCGTGGCCTAGGAGCTGCTGCTCTCATTGAAATCCTAAGACAGGCAGGCTTGTCTTTCGCTCCTTCCCATGCTATAAAAACAGTGTGTTTATGTAGCTAGCCCTCCAAAGCAGGACATTCCTTCCTTTCCACACTGTTAATAGCAGAAGCCCTGCCTTGCTGTCCCAGCATTTACTGAGCGCCGGCTGTGTGCCAGGCACCAGACTAGGGGTGCCTGTCCCCCAGCCCCTTCCCGCCTTGAGTTGTGCCGCCCTTCAGTCCCCATGCCACCCCGAGGAAAGTATTCTTGTCATTGCCGCTTGGCAGAAGAGCAAAGTGAAGGTTGGCTGGGGACTCAACCCCACATTTTCAGTTTCTTCAACACAGATGTCATGGAGGAAAGGAACGAGGATCACACACCCAAGCACACAGCACGCCTCCCCTCTGGGTGTTGCTGGCAAAGGCATTCTGTTTCTTCATCTGTAAAATGGGCAGGAGTCTAACAACACTGCATGAAACACAGGGATGCATGAGTGCCTTGTGCTACCTGACACACCGAGGGGCTCCATGCCCCGTGACTGTAATCCATGCTGATAAAGATGCCGGCTGAGCACAATGGCTCATGCCCATAATCCTGCACTTTGGGAGGCTGAGGTGAGAGGATTACCTGAGTCCAGGGGTTCGAGACCAGCCTGGGCAACTTGGGGAGACCTCATCCCTACAATAAATCAAAAAAATTAACCAGACATGGCGGCGCACTTTAGTTCCAGCTACTTGGAAGGCTGTGGCGGAAGGGTCCCCTGAGCCCACTAGGTCGAGGCTGCGGTGGCCGTGAGTGAGCCACTGCACTCCAGCCTGGGTGGCAGAGTAAGATTTTGACTCAAAAAAAAGGATGTCGACCTCTCTCCCCATGGCAGGTAGGAGCCACCTGAGTCGTAGAGCAGGGGAGGAGGCAGGGGAGCCAAGCTGACTGCCTGCTGTTTCCTGTCCTCAGCGGCCAAGGAGGGGCTGCTGGCACTGCAGAGGGAGCTGCGCAGGATCACGCTGCCTGACTTCACCGGGGACTTCAAGATCCCGCATGTTGGCCGTGGGCACTATGAGTTCTACAGGTGGGACCCTCCCTTCTGCTGGCGCCCCAGGTGGCTGGTGGGAGGGGCTGGAGGGGGAGGGCCCGGGATGGAGTCCAGGACCTCTCTGGGGCAGACAGTGGGAGAGTTCTCTAGCAGTTCAGGAGGAGACTCTGGGGGGGGGGGGATTAAGCTCCTTCACGGACTCATGCAGCAGAGATTAAGAAAGATCTACTGAGCCGGGCTCAGTGGCTCAGCCTGTAATCCCGTGTCTTGGGAGGCTGAGGTGAGTGAATTGCCTGAGCCCGTGGGCTGGCGAGACCTCATTTCTACAATAGATTAAAAAAAAAAAACAAAACTAGCCGGGCGTGGTAGCACACGCCTGTAGTTCCAGCTACTTGGAAGTCTGAGGCGGAAGGATCACCCGAGCCCAGCAGGTCGAGGCTGCGGTGGCCGGGAGCGGCCACTGCACTCCAGTCTGGGCGACAGAGTGAGACTCCAACTCAAAAAAAAAAAAAAAAAAAAAAGAAAGATTTACTGTAAGCGGTGCAACCCGAGTCTCACAGTCTCCTTATTTGTAAAATAGAATTGCTATCTCCTTCAGAACGATAACCCTAGATCCAGTCTGGCCACTGGATACAGTGTGGAAAGGAAGAGAGATCTTCAACTTTAAAAGTAGAAGTTCAACTGGAGAGCTGAAGTTTGATCATAGGCAGTCAGGGAAGGCTTCTCACAGGAGGTGGCGTTTGAGCTCAGTCTTCAAGAGATCGCTAGACTTGAGCAGCTGACCTCCAAAGGCATGAAATGCTTTGAGGGATGAGCACTGAAGCGGGGGCAACCAGGCCTGCAGCTCACTGCGCCCCTCCCCGCTCATTACCCCTGGGTGCTTCATTCATTCCTTCTTTCCTTTATTCATCGTATCAGGAAGCATTTGTTGCGTGCCTACTATGTACCAGGCAAGAAAATGGAAATTGATCATTCTTCTTCCACTGATGGACCCCTTGCCAACCATTTTTGTGTCTCCTCTTAAGGGTGCTTCCATCTTCCCTGAATCGAATTCCCCTACCCAGATATACGAGAGAGGGAGGGTTAGAAGGAGCTGCAGGCGGGGCGTGGTGGCTCACACCTGGAATCCCAGCACTTTGGGAGGCCAAGGCAGGAGGATCACTTGAGCCCAGGAGTATGAGACCAGCCCAGGCAGCATAGGGAGACCTCGTCTCTTCAATAAATAAAATAATTAGCTGGGTGTGATGGCGTGTGCCTGCCGTCCCGGTTACACAGGAGGCTGAGGTGAAGGCTGAGGCTGCGGAGAGCTGTGATCGTGCCACTGCAATCCAGTGTGGGGGCAGAGCAAGACCCCAACTCAAAAAAACGAACTGCAAACTCAAAGGGGTGCGTTCCTCAGTGGGCAGGTCTATGCAAACCTACCTGTGAAGTCCAAGGAAGCTGAGAGGCCACAGAGAGAGGCTGGCAAGCCCAGTTTCTCACTTCTAACAGGGACTTGTGAACAGAAGCCAAGTCTGTGGCTCAGGCAGCAGTGGGACAAGACAGTGAATCCCCACCCCTCACTCTCCAGACCCAGGGCTTATGTGCTACTGGGAAAGGGTGAATCTGAAAGGATGTGTAGGATGATCGAAGTACAATGACATCAAGGTTTTCTGACTTAAGGGCAGGATTTACAGCAAGTACATGCTCTTCTGCAAAGAACAATAGATAGGCTGGAAATCCTAGAGGGCTTCCTGGAACTGGAGTTAATTGGTCCTCAACATGGCATCAACAGGGTGGGTTAGCCTTCAGAGGGAGGTGCTCTAGCAATGACATGTTCTCCGCAGGACACCAGCCAGGGCCACGAGGTCATGGGTTCTGATCCTGACTGTGCCACCGTGGGCAGTTGCACTCCTTCCTTACGGTTCCATGTTTCCCCCCATGGACGGGGAGCAAGCACGGTGCTGACCCTGCTGTGAGGCCTACGTGGCGTAAGACTTGCAAAGTGCTTGGCACAGTCATGGCTGACACCCAGCACAGAGCAGGTGCCAATGCTCGCCTGAAGCAGGTCTTGCTGGTCTGGTCCCCGCCGTGGCAGGGATGAGGGGTGCAGGAGTCCCTGTTGAGGCAGGGTGCAGGCCCCTGGCTGATGCCTCCTCCGTGTATCTCTTTCCAGCCTGGATGTCCACAGCTGTGAGCTGCTGAGCTCCGAGCTAAGGCCCCTCCCCGGCCAGGGCCTGAGCCTCACCATCTCTGACGCCTTCATCCGGCTCCAGGGCAGGTGGAAGGTGCGCAAGTCCTTCCTGTAAGTCAGCTCCCATTCCTTGGGGTCCAAGGTGCTCCTGACTTATCAGAATGGCTGGGGACAGACCCTAGCTCTCAGAGTCTCTTTCCCCGAGTCTCTGCCTCCCGATTTCCTAAAGCAACAGGCCTGCTTCCTTGGTGGGGTCATGGGTGAACCCGATGCAATAATATTGTGTCTTCTTCATTCGCATCCCACAGAAGTAGTCTACACGGTCAGAATCCCAGTGTAAGTACTCCATGTGGGAAGTGAACTCAGGAAGGGAAGCATCCACAGGGGCGTGGGGGAGAGAGGCATGGAGGGAGAGGAGCCAGCTGGGCAGAGCCCAGTCCAGCCGAGGACTCTGGGGACAGCACAGGACACCCCCGAGTCACTCCAGTCCCGCCGTGTCACCCTCCTTCTCAAGTGCCATGGCCAAGGGGCACTTTCCAGCACTGTGAGCAGCTCCTGCCTTCGGAAGCACTTGGACGGAAGGGGTTTTCGTTTGCTAGGGTTGCCGTAACAGACTGGGTCTTTAAACAGAAGCGGGTTTCCTCCCAGTTCTGGAAGCTGGAGGGCCACAGCGCGGCTTCCGCAGGTCTGGTTTCTCCTGAGACCTTTCTCCTTGGCTTGCAGATGGCTATCTCTTGCTGTGTCCTCACACGGTCTTTCCCTGGTATTCAAGAAACCCTGTCTCTGTGTGTCCTAATCTCCTCTCCTTCTAAGGACACCAGCCATACCGGATTAGGGCCACCCTGAAGACCCCACTCTAACCTAATCACGTCGTTAGGCGCTTATCTCCAAATACAGTCACATTCTGAGGTGCTGGGGGTTAGGGCTTCAACATGTGAATTTGAGGGTGGAGGCACAATTCAGCCCAAAACAAAGGTTTGACCAGTCTCTGGTGAGTGGCCTGTCCATATTCATACTTTAGATCTGCACTGTCCAATGTAGTAGTTGCCAACCACACGTCTTTACTGAGCACTGGAAAAGGACCTACTATAAATAAGATCAATTATAAGTATGAAACATTTGAAGATTTAGTTTTTTTAAAAAGAACATAAATCCTATTATTGTAATATGGATTATGTGGTAAAATGATAATATATATTGTTAAAATTGATTTCAGCTGTTTTCTAACTTTTTCAATGTGGTCACTAGAAAATTTTGAATTCCATATGTGACTCACATATTTCCCCTGGACGATGCAGCTTTAGGAAGATGCTCAGGATTTGTCAACTACACATGCTCATTCATTCTACTTCCAGAACAAGATTTGAGCCACACTCTTCTGCCCTGGCTTTTGTCACTGAAGTACATTTTTTCTTAATCTACTTTTTATTTCACACCCAAAAGATGAGAAAGCGGGAACTCAGATATTTTACACCCATGTTCATAGTAGCATTATTCATAATGGCCAAATGGTGGAAACATTCCAAATGTCCTTTGACAGATACATGGATAAACAAAATGTGGTACGCACACACAATGGAATATTATTCAGTCTTCAAAAGGAAAAAAAATTCTGATACATGCTACAACATGGATGAACCTTGAAGACATTATGCTAATTGAAATAAACCGGTCACGAAAGGAAAAATCTTACACGAAATACCTGGAATAGTCAAATTCATAGAGACAGAAAGTAGAAGAGCAATTACCAGGAACTGGGAGGGAGGGAAACACAAAGTTACTGTTTTGTTTTGTTGAGTCAGGGTCTCACTCTGTCACCCAGGCTAGAGTGTAGTGGCATGAACGCTACGACCATGGCTCATGGCCGGCCTCAACCTCCTGGGCTCAAGTGATCCACCTCAGAATCCTGAGCAGCTGGGACTACAGGTGTGTCACTGAAGTATCTTAAAGGTTGCTTTATATGAGCATATGAAGAGCCACCTCATTCTTTTTTTTTTTTACTTTTTAAAAGGTAATTTTAAAAGCAGACATGAAATTCGCATATCATAAAATCGACCATTTTAAAGTGTAAATTGACCATTCAGTGGCAGTTAGTTCATTCACAATGTGCAACCACCATCTCTATCCGGTTCCAAAACATTTTCATCACCTCAAAAGAAAACTCCATACCCATTAAACAGTTAACCCCCGTTTCCCCTTACCCCAGGCTCCTGGAAACGGCTTTACATTCATCTTTGTAGATTTACCTCTTCTGGATATTTCATAGAAATGGAACCACAATATGGGATCTTTTGTGTCTGGTCTCTTTCACTGAACACATTTTCAAGGTTCACCGATCTTATAGCATGCTTTAGTGCTTCATTCCTTTCGAACGGAGAGTACTATTCCATTGTATGGATAGACCCTACTTTGCCTCCCTGTTTTCAAAGCCTGCCTAGCAGGGGTGCCCACAAAGTATTCAACTACTAGTGGACGTTTGGGCTGTTTCTTCATTTTTGCTGTTACCCATAATGCTTCAGTGAGCCGCCCCATACCTATATCTTGGCAGGAAGATAAAGGCTGAGAAGTCACATGACTGGGCTCAAGAGTATGTGTGTTAGAGCCAGGAACGGTCTCACTGACTTGTGTCTAAGAAAGGTTGTGACCATGTGCCTTCCCAACATATACTTACCAGCACTGGATAAAAAAATGTCAGAAGTTTTATCAGTCTCATAGGTGAAACTGGCAGCATTGTTATTTTCGTTTTTAATAACTTTTTTTTTTTCTTTTTGAGTTGGAGTCTCACTCTGTCGCCCAGACTGGAGTGCAGTGGCCGCTCCCGGCCACCGCAGCCTCGACCTGCTGGGCTCTGGCGATCCTTCTGCCTCAACCTTCCGGGTAGCCGGAATTACAGGCATGCGCTACCACGCCCAGCTGATTTTTTTTTTATTTATTGTAGAGATGAGGTCTCGCTGCCCAGGCGGGTCTCGAACCTGTGGGCTCAGGCCATCCACTCAGCTCAGCCTCCCAAAGGCGCGGGATTACAGGCTGAGCCACCGAGCCCAGCATTTTTTAAATAACTTTTAATATGCTTACTTGCCACTGCATTTCCTGTTTATATCTTTGATTTTTTTTTCTTTTGTCCTTTCCTTATTCATTTGTATTGGCTTGTTCTTTGTATATTAAGGAAATCAACTCATATTTTAAGGAAATTAGTTCTTTGTCTCATGATTAGTTCTTTGTCTCATGATGCAATTTTGTTTTACATATGGCTTTTTTTTTCTCACTGAAGTTTTAATTTTCTATGCTGGCGAGCTTATCAACCATTTTCTTTATGGCTTTTGAGACTTAGCTCTTGCCGAGGAAGGCCTTTGCCCGTTCCCGGCTATATACCAGATCCAGGCTTTTTTTCTGGATCTTTTATGACCTTATTTGTTATTCTTAAATCTGTGCTCAGCTCCACTTATTTGAGGATGAGATTTGAGTTTCCTGTTCCTCCCCCACACCCACATGGTGGCAGACCCTGGTCCAGGTATCAGCCACAGCTTCTCTCATGCCCTTTAGGAAACTACAAGGCTCCTTTGACCTGCATGTCAAGGGCATCACACTGTCAGTCAGCCTCCTATTGGGCAGTGAACCCTCGGGGAGGCCCACAGTTACTGCCTCCAGCTGCAGCAGCCACATCCGGGACGTGGACGTGGACATGTCGGGAGACTTGGGGTAGGTCACCCCGGGGATGTCCTGATTGGTGCCATGGCCCATCCAGCCCTCGACCTGGCCTCTGACAAGCATAAGGATCCAGATGGGATGCAGGGGTGCTTCGCAGGCATTCAGACATAACTCTTTGGGGATCCTGTTGAGATGAACAGGTACAGATTTAAGCCAGGAACATTAGAATATCATTTTCATAAGAAAATAAACTTCAGGGGACCTTTGTCAGGTGAATAAAATATGGCTATTGGGGGAACACAACGGCTTTTGGCTGAGGAGGAGTTGGTGAAAAACAGACAAGTCCTTGGGCAAGTCGTTTCATTTCTTTGAGTCACCGTTTCCTCGGTTAGGAAGATGTGGATTCTCGAGCCCCTCTCTCAAATCTGCTGAATGCGGCAGGTGCAGCCAGTGGCTGGAAGTCGGACACATCAGGCAAAATGGGTGTGCTGGGACGCTGCCTTTCTAATTCCCCCAGCATTCTGGGGCACGGCAGGGCACCAGGGCAAGGTGGGGAGGGCTCCCTAGGGAACTGGTCTGCCAGGGCTCCGCTGCCCTGTTCAGTAGCAGACAGCTGACTGTCCATGGTGCTCCTCTCCCCAGGTGGCTGCTGAATCTCTTCCACAACCAGATCGAGTCCCAGTTCCGGAGAGTGTTGGAGAGCAAGGTAAGAGGGTCCGAGCCACTAGGTATCCTCCAAGTTGGGCCAGGGCTAAGTAGAGTCCTCACTGACCCCTAGCACTGGCTGGGGCCAACGGGGCTGATTTGGACATAGTTGGGCCCAATGTCCTGAGAGGACAGACACCTCATGTGCCCAGGCCATGGAGCTGATATGGGGTGATGCTGGGGGCAAAACTCAGGTGAGTCCACCTAGTAGAGCAGAAAATGGGCAGGTGCTTGGTCAAGGGCTAAACAGAGACTCCAACCCTCAGTCAGCTCTGTCCTACCCACAGTCCCACACTGTCCCACATGTCACAAAGGCCAAAAGAGATTGTGACTCAAGGGCCTTCAGAGCCCAGGCAAGTGTCTTGGGTGAGCACATGGGCCAGGTGGGAACCATGGGGTCTGCTCTGTGGGGAGGCAGGGATGGTGCGTCACACTTTCCTGTTAAAAAAAACATGTGGCAGCTGGGCTCAGTGACTCAGTCTGTAATCCCAGCACTTTGGGAGGCCTAGGCGAGTGGATTGCTTGAGTCCGTGGGTTCGAGACCCACCTGGGCAAATTGGCGAGACCTCATCTCTGCAATAAATTTAAAAAAAAATTAGCCGGGCGTGGTAGCGCACATTTGTAGTTTTGACTACTTGGAAGGCTGAGGTGGAAGGATCGCCGGAGCCCAGCAGGTCGAGGCTGCGGGGGCCGGGAGCGACCACTGCACTCCAGTCTGGGCGACAGAGTGAGATTCCAACTCCAAAAAAAAAGGAATATTCATGAAAAATGTTTTGCCAGTAAGTTTGACAACAGACAAAATGAATAAATGCCAACTCAAAATAAAAATTAAAAAAACATGTGACACTCCAGATTTCATAACCTTTGACTAAAACAAAGAGATTTTATGTTGACTTTTAGTTTCTCTAAATGCTCACTCACCCCAAAATCCCATCTCTGAGGTTTGTACACACAGCCGGAGCTGTCTGTCGCAGACTGCGTGGAAAGGGGGACAGTGATGAGGAGAAAAGGAGAGCACACACACGCCACACTCACACACATAGGCGCCCACGCGCACCCCTTCTCCAGGTCCAACCACTGGTTTGGCTTTGGGTGCCCCCTACTGGTTTAATCACGAATGGCAGGCAGACTCCACCACTGGGTGTGGCCATCTGTGCTCTTCCTTTTTTGGTTCATGGGTCCTGGGATCTATGTGAACTTGAGAAATATGCCAGCCTCTTACTCAGACACCTTGTTGCACTATTGCTGTACTAATTTATATTCCTCTGTTGGAGATAAGTGTGGTTAGTAATACAATTAATTATAATATAATTGTTATGTACTGTATAATTGTTTTGATAAATTAATATAATTAATGCAATGCAAAATACACTATTGTATAACTGTTCTTATTTATAGCAATAATGGTGGCTATTTCTTGAGCCTCTGGCTTGGCCAGGACTACTGAGCCAAGCACTTCACCCACACAGTCTCGTGGGAGCTTAACCTCAACCTCAGAAGGAGGTGCCGTTTTCCACAATGACGGAGGAGGCTTGAGAGGTGGAGTAGCTGGCCCAGTGTCGCCTTGCGGGACAGAGGCTGGCTCAGGACTGGAGCTTCCTGGGATGTGGAGCAGCTTGTGCCAAAGGCCTTGTGGGGATGGGTGTCTCAGGGAGGATGGCAGTCTCACCTGACTCCTGATGTCTCTTCAGGGAAAGCTAAGAGCCTGTGTAGGACCTTTTTTTTTTTTTTTTTTTTTTTTTTGAGTTGGAGTCTCACTGTCGCCTGACTGGAGTGCAGTGGCCGCTCCCGGCCACCGCAGCCTTGACCTGCTGGGCTCCGGCGATCCTTCCGCCTCAGCCTTCCGAGTAGCTGGAATTACAGGCGCATGCTACCATGCCCAGCCAATTTTTGATTTATTGTAGAGATGAGGTCTCGCCAAGTTGCCCTGGGCGGGTCTCGAATTCGCAGGCTCAGGCAATCCACTCACCTCAGCCTCCCAAAGGTGCGGGATTACAGGCTGAGCCACCGAGCCCAGCTGTAGGACCTTTCTAATTCCTCACTCAGGGTGGGATGTGGTGTCTGAACTAGCAGGCTAAGAAGAAGCACTCACAGAGTGCCTACTCTCAGGATGATAAGTACTGTCTCATTCTCCCACTTCCTCAAAAACCCTGGGAAGCAGTTGGCCTTGTCATTGCATGGGGGGAGGGGTGTGAAAGCCAAAAGCAGAGGTCACCTAGCCAGTAGGCACTGAGCAGGATTTGAATCCAAGCTTGGTCGACAATCCTGCTACACCTTAACAACTACCCCAACCTGTCTCTTGGGAGTCCCTACTGTGTGTCTGGAACTGAGGTACCCCTTACCTCCCCTCCCCCATCCTTTAGATCCCTGAAAGAGTGAGGCATTGAGACTCAGGACTTTGGGAAGAAAAGACAGGTGAGGGCATTGAGACTCAGGACTTTGGGAAGAAAAGAGTTTCCTGTTCCCTTGCGATCAGCCACAAATGTTCCTCTTTGCTTTCTGGTGGCAACTCACGGCTCAGCTGCTCTCCCAGGAAGCCTGGCACCTGCAAAGGGAGGTTAAGAGAACCCCTTGCCTGCCCAGCCCCCCCATCACCGTTCCCACAAGGCAGTGCTTGCCTCATGCCTGCCCTCCCTTGAGCTTGCACTACAAACGCCACTTCTTCAGAGAAGCCTCCACCAGTCCAGGGCCCCCGTGTCCCTCTCCTTCCTGTATAGATGGATCTGTTTGTAGCAGCCATTACTGTTATAAGTAAGAATGGTTATTCGATAACATGTTCTGTGTAGCATATAAAGAGCTGTTTAGACAGGCACGGTGGCTCACACCTGTAATCCCAGCTACTCCAGAGGCTGAGGCAGGAGGGCTGCTTGAGGCCAGGAGTTTGAGACCAACCTGGGCAACATAGCTTGTCTCTTAAAAAAAATACAATTAAAAAGCCATTTAAAGTAAAGACTCACGTACACATATAAACAAAGAAAAAAATTACATATGAACCCAAACGTTTTAGGATACAGTAAATGCACTTTCATTTGTCATCTTGATGTAGGGCGCGCGACTGTTCTGTGAAAGTGGTCTCTTGATTGGCATTGCCCTTGGTCCTTCCTGCATGAAACATTGATCTGCTACAAATTCCAGCTCAGGTTTTCTTTAACCACAATGAGAATTTAAAGACATCTGCAAAGTCATCCCAGTGTAGAATCTGTCCAGATTTTTATATTTTTTCCTCCTAAGATTTTCTGTTGTCTAGTCCAAATTTAACAGCGTTTTTGGTCACACTCACCTTTCCAGGGTGTTTATCTTAGGTTTCCATAGAAACAGCTCCTTTCTCAGTCGTACTGCATTGGTTTACATAATAAACGATTTGAATGATTACAATAGCAAGAACAGCAAAGTGTTTGGCAACGCTCATTTCCTTCTCCTGAGAGGCACCCTACTCAGTGGGTGAGCAGTGGCATGTAAGGAACCTGCAGACACCGGCATTCAGCTCCGGGGGCACCCACAGGAACGGGAACATGGCTCCATCCAGCCCACCTGGACAGCGATGACCGTCAGGCAGTAGCTACATTTACTGTGTGTTTATGTGTGTGCCTATTTCTGGTGACTGTCTAATTCTGCTGTTAACCTTCCCATTCCCAGAGGTCAGGGCCTCCTAGAGGAAACCGGCTTCAGGGGTGGAGCCCCAGCAGTGACTCCAGCCACTGCCCCATTGGCCATGCCCGTGACTACCCCACAGATCCAGCCTTGGGACAGGCTTTGAGAAGTCCAACCCTGCTGGACTCTACACAGAGCCTACATTTTAAAAATCATTTCTATTTCCTCAGTCTCTGGCTCATGATAAGCGCTTACCAATGTTGCAGAGTCAGTGATCACTGAGCAAATGTGTGAAGTGACGTGACTGGAGTAACTAGTCCAGAGACAGACCAAAGCTAGGGACTCACCCAGGCTTTCTCTTCCCGTTTTCTCCAGATTTGTGAAATGGTCAAGAAATCGGTGGCCACCGACCTGCAGGCTTATCTCCAAACTCTGCCAGGTAGGATGTCCACCACCTCGCGACAGCTTATTTCTGTTAATTTTCATAACAGCATCTATGTACCTTGTAAAACATTGGGTAGAAAGTAAAAATTAAAAGTCCTTTTATCTTCTCAACTTTTCTTCTGAGACAACTTCTGTTATGGGCATATCTTTTCAGATATTTTATTTGCATGTGCGAATATAAAGATGCATAATCATGAATAAGCATTCATATATGTATTTTGTTCATGAATAGATGTGTATTTGCATAAGTATAAATATGTATTATAATATATTACAATACAAATATTAGAGTATATACATATGTTAGTATATATAAAATACATCGTATAATACTTATGTATTATATATTATAATTATATATCCATATTAATAATATATAAAATATTATGTAAATATTATAGAATTATAATATGTTATACAATATAATAATACATATATACATCTATGCATACATATGCATATATCAGTAGACATCGTACAGGCATTGTTTTGTCCCTTGCTTCTTTTTTTTTTGAGTTGGAGTCTCACTCTGTCACCCAGACTGGAGTGCAGTGGCATGTTCACTTCCACCACAGCCTTGATCTTTTGGACTCAGATGATCCTTCTGTGTCAGCCTTCCAAGTAGATGGAACCATGGGCGTGTGCCACCATGCCCAGCTAACTTATTTATCTATTTATTGTAGAGACAAGGACTCTCCAAGTTATCCAGGTTGTTCTCGAGCCCCTGGACTCAGACAATCCTCTCGCCTCTCCCTCCCAGAATGCTGGGATTACCAGCATGAGTCACCATGCCCAGCTTGCTTCTTTTTTAACTTGTGCATCTTGGAGACCCTTCTATATCAGCACACATAATTGACTTCAATTTTTAAAACTTTGTATGAAAGCATATCCACAGAGAAAAGTGCTCATGAGTGTGCAGTTAAAGAGTTTTCACACATTGAACACACACACATGTCCAGTTCCCAACCAAGAATCAGAGGATGGGCGACCTTTCAGAGTCCCTGGTGTCCCCCTCAGTCACTGCCCAGCCTCCAGGGTAAGCACCATCCTAACTCTACCAGCAAAGATTTAGTTTTGCACTTTGGACCTGACCTGAATCAGACAATAGTGTGAGTCTTTTTTCAAGGGCCAGAAGGCTTTCTTTGTTCAACTTGGAAATACAGGGTTGGTCCATACTGCTGCACGTGCCTGTTGTGTGACTGGTTCCTTCTCCATCTGTGTCATGTTCCACTGAGCAGATGTCCCTCTGTTCATCTGTCCCTCTACTGCTGAAGGCCACTTGGGAGATTTCAGCTGTAGGCCCTCATCAGTAGCGCCGCTTTGAATGTTCTGCTACATGTGGCCGCCTGTCTTTGGGTATACACCTCGGAGTGAAATTGCAGGCTCGCATGGTGTGTGTGGGTTCAGCATTATTAGATCCTGCTGAACGGTTTCCCAAAGTGGCTGTGCCAGACTTCATTAAGGATGTGGTTTTGTTTATCAAGTCCCCCACGGAGGGACAGTCATGCTTCCTGCTGAGCTTCACGGTTGTCATCGGAGCTCCAGGGAGCCATGTCAACCAGAGTCCCTGAATCCAGGGTACCATGTTCAGCTTGGAAGGCCAGCCCCTGACAGATTGTCCGAGGTATCCTCTGCTGCCTTGGCCCCCGGGCCACTTGTTGACACCCCTTCACCTGAGGCCAGGGGGCACTGCCAACCCGATGCATGGAACGTAGAACATTGTCCACCCGGGGCTTTGGAAGGGAGCGCCTGGGCCCTCTGGCATGCCTGACCTTATTTCATGCCGATACCCCACAAGAAGCACGAAGGTGTGGCTGGAGGTATGAAGTCCCAGGGCTGCCAGAGTTGGGCTCCTCCTTCCGGCGTATATGTGTGCATGTGTTCGTGTGTGTGTGTGTGTGTGTGTGTGTGTGTGTGTGTGTGTGTGTCCCTGGAAGCTGCTTAGGCCCTAGGCTGAGCATCACACCCCTGCCATTGCTAACCCACCCATGTGACAAAAAAAACCCATCCAGTCTCTTTTCTGCAGAAGCAGCTCTTTGTCCAGGGGCTGGGCTGGGTGGAGGGTCTTTGGACCGAGGGATAGGGAGAGTGGGACTCTGAAGAAAGCTGTAAGGAGTGTGTCAACCAGAGCCCTTCTCCAGCCAAAGACTGCGCCTGACTCCTCATTCTGTCCCGCCCTGGTTCACAGTCACAACAGAGATTAACCACTTCGCCAGTGTGGACTACAGCTTAGTGGAAGCCCCTCAGGCAACAGCCCAGATGCTGGACGTGCTGTTTAAGGTGAGGGTCCCAGAGCAGGTGTCTGGGTGGGTCCAGCCCCAGGGAGGCTTGCCCTCAGGGTCAGCCCTTTCTTGTGGTCACCTGGCCCCAACTTCAGATCTATGCTCATCTCCCCAGCTGCTCCTGTTGTGTCAAAAGCCAGGTGATTTCCCCTCCTCCTTCTTCTCTTCATGATGCAGAGAGGTCAACATGAGTGACCTAGCTGGTGCAGAGGGGTGTGGGGCTATGGGGGTGCTGGTCAGTATACCTGAGGGTTAGTTCCGCAAAGCTTTGGAGGAGCTTTTCATGAAGAAAAAACATCTTTCATGGTAGAGACTCAAACCGTGGCTCCAGTCAGTGCCCCTGAGGCTGTGTTGGTGACTACCTAGCTCAGAGGTCCAGCCCTGGGACAGACTTTGGAAAGTCCAACTGGACTCTATTTCTCTTTCCAGGGTGAAATTTTTCATCTTACTCATCGCTCCCCAGTGGCTTTCCTTGCTCCCGTCATGAGCCTTCCAGAGGAACATAACAAAATGGTCTACTTTGCTGTCTCAGACTACGTCTTCAACACAGCCAGCCTGGTGTATCACGAGGCAGGGTGCCTGAACTTCTCCATCACAGATGACGTGGTAAGGATGCTCTCAGAGGATGACATAATCTCTTCTGCCTTCCTCCTTTCCTTCCCACCCCCACTTACAGTAAAACAGTAAATCGAGACTAGGAAAAATATGTTAGTATAATATCCCTTTTTACTTTGGCTGCCAGGAAGCTCAAAACCAAAGTTTTTTCTCCCTTATAACAACTATAGAAGACTTCATGGCTTGTGTTTTACTTTTCTCCTTGTCCAAACCCATTATTTTAAGTCAAATTTTCTTTCTTCCTGATGGTTTGTGGAGGTTTATTAAAAATACTTACATGAATGAGGCAAAATAATAGATATACTGATAAATGCATAAAGTTACATAGAAAAGGAAATAAAGACCAAATGAAAAGTAAAGCACAATTATGAAGTCACTGGGCCCATAAATTGATTTTTTTTTTTAAATCTCAAACTTGCCTGGGAGCTTCCTTATAGCCAAAGTGACAAAGGTCCACGACTTAGTGATTCCTGGTGAAAAGGAGAGTCAGAGTCTTTCTGACACTTAAGCTCTAAAGCAATGATCTCAAAGGGGCTTTGTATAAAGAGCCTGGATTTTATAGGGGATCACATCCTCAGCATTTCCCCAGTTTTTAAACTATTTCTGTTGAGGTCTCGTGAACAATGTCAGGGTGGTGCAGTCCAACTCAATGGTGAGTCAGGGACTGTCTGACCGACCAAGGGAGTGTCTTCTGTCCATGAATGACTTCTCACACAGCGCAGGCCGTACTCCTTGGCATGTGTGCGCCACCCGTCTCACCTGCGCACCGGCCTGTCTCACCGCAGAGGAGGTGATCGTCGCTGTGTCCCAGGGAGCGTCCTCTGTGTGCTAAGGCCTTGTGCTTGCTGCTCATTCAGCTCTCATTCAGACTACTGTTGTCCCCATCTTATGGAGGAGGAAGCTGAGGCTCAGGGGGTGGAAAGGATTGGCTTGAGACGGGAGTGGCAAAACCAGGACCCAAACCCAGTCGGTGTGACTGCACACCTCACCCTCGTGAAACCTCTGGCTGGGGCCTACTTGTCACCTACGCCCCAGGGAGGGCGGCCAGGGCCTGAGGACTCATGCCTTCTGCTCCGGGTGAATGCAAGACTGGCGTCTCACCACTGCCAGGGTAACCCAGGTGTCGAGAAACCACAGCCTTGAACATTCCCAGCTCTCTTTAGCCCGTCAGCTCTGGTGGGACCACGCTAAACCTCCTGTGTGTCTCTTTGCTTCAGATTCCCCCTGACTCGAACATCCGGCTGAACACCAAGTCCTTCCGAGGCTTCGCCCCCCGGGTAAGAGGTCTCCCCTCCCTCCATGGGTGCAGGCCAACCCCACTAGATTTCAGAGGCTTCTCTTTCAAGCCTCTGCCTTTCTCTCGGCGTGACCAAGAGTCAGGAGGCTGGGAGTGAGACCCCAGTGAAGGCCAAGTTGCTACAGCCTTCTGGGGCCAGATCACAGAGGCCTGAGCCCCATGTCTCAGGGGACCACAGCTGGTTCTGTCTTTTATTGGTGTAAACTAAGAATCCCCAGGAATGCCGGCGCATTTCACAAAATGTCCCCTAACTGATAGCATCTAGCGATTATAGAGGGCTTACTAAGGGCCAGGTACATTCGTGGTGCTTTAAAAAATTATTTTTGAATGAATAATACATTTGCATGACTCAGCATTCAAAAACTAAAAAAGGTTATAGTGTCCCACATATTCCTGTCCCCTCACCATCCAGTTTCCATCTTGAGTCTACAAATACCATCAAATCTGTGCGTATCCTGGTGGTATTCCATGTATATACAGGTTGGGTACTCTTACCCAAGATGCTTGGAATCAGAAATATTTCAGATCTCAAATGTTTTCAGATTTTGGAATATTTGCATGTACATAATGAAACACCTTGGAGACGGGACCTCAGTCTAAACACAAAGTTCATTTATGTTTCATAGATGCCTCATACAAACTACCTGAAGGTAATTTTATGCCATATTTGTATCTATTTATTTTTAATTTCTTTTCAGTCTGCGTCTCACTCTGTTACCCAGGCTGGAGTGCAGTGGCATGATCACAATGATCACAGCTTAGGGCAGCCTCGACCTCCTGGACTCAGGCGATCATCCCACCTCAGCCTCCTGAGCCGCTGGGAATACAGGCATGTGCCGCCACAGTCGGTTAATGTTTCCATTTTTTTTGTAAAGACATGGTCTCATTATGTTGTCCAGTCTGGTCTGGCACTCCTGGGTTCAAGCAATCCTCCCGACTCAGCCTTACAAAGTGCTGGGATCACAAGCATGAACCACCACGTGTCCAGCCATGATGCCACGTTCTAAATAATTTTGTGCATGAAACAAAATTTTGACTGCGTTTTGCCTGTAACCTGTCACATGAGGTCAGTTTGGAATTTTCCACTCATGCCATCATGTAGGCACTCAATAGTTTCAGATTTTGGATTTCAGATATTCAGAGGAGGGATGCTCATCTGTATAGAAACTGTTGTGCATCTTCCCCCATTTTTTTTTTAACATAAATGGAGGCATAGTACACACCGTGTTGTACCTTTTCCCACTTACTGTTTCTGGGAAATCATTCCAGATAGGCAGATAAAGAGCATCCTCGCATCCTTGCTCTTTTATTCATGGGGATCTAACCTGCCACTGTATGGATGCACCATGGCTTGTTGAGCCAGCCTCCTACGGAAGGCCATGTAGTTGTGTCCAGTCTTTTGCTACATCTGTGTTGCAGGGAATGACCCAGTAACTCTGCCATTCCTGGGCTGAACTCTTCATATGCCCCATCTCATTTAATCCAACCAAAATCTACCAGTCCTCTCCCCAATGCTCATGTCCCCCAAGAAGCAGCTCAGATAGGCAGTCGTGTTTAGCGTGCCTTACAGAAGGCTTGCTGATAACTGAGGAGTCATAATGGTGGGGAAAAAATTTAAACCCCATGTCCTGCAATGCCTGGGTCAGGTCCTGCAATACGGAGCCCCCTAAAGCCCTTTCTCTCCCTGAGCCCCACTCACAGGCCAGCTTGCTGCTATCTTGTCCGAGTGACCTTTGGAGTGCCTCTGGCCGCACCCTGGCTCCGGCAACCCTACTGTCCTAGAAAGAGAAAGAGACTCTCCCTCCCTTTTCCTGCCTGCATCACAATCAGCCTGGCAGAAAAGCAATTCTGCCTGCCTTACAGTCAAGAAGTTTCCTTTCTCCACCTTCCAGACTTCTCCCTTCTAGAATGGGATGTAGATTTTACATGTATATAACCAAAAGGCTCACGGAAGTGTTGTTCTTCCACCAACTTCCCCCCAGAAGGGAACAGTCTTGACCTAAATTAAATTCTATGCCTGCCTCTAGTTAAACAGAAAATTGTGAGCACTTTTAAAATGGTGGGATCTCATTGTGCTGTATTCCAAAAACACTGGCGTCTGTTCTCAGCATGTGAAGCCCCCAAACAGTGAGGAGGGCACGGAGAAACAACAGCTGTCTCCCATTGTCTGGGGAGGGCTGGGGATGAAAACCTTTCTGGAAGACAATCTGGTGATACCTGCCGAAACCTCGACCAGTATGGCTGCCCTTTGACTCGGCAGTTCCACCTCTGGGAATGCTCTCCTGAAAATAATAGCCAAGCGTACTGAGGGAGGTGGTCATTATAGTGGCAAAACCTTGGAGACAACTTGATGCCTGGGAGGGCTGGATCAATGGCTGTCTCTGTGCTCCACAGAATACAACGCAGCCCTGAAATAGATGACGTGGACTCTGTGTGTCTGACATGGAAAGATGCCAGTTCCGCAGTTCAGGGGGAAAGGCACAGGGCGTTCTGTGGGAGGTAAAATCCAAAGCATCCTCAGCTTTACTGGACTCTCTCCAGGCTCTCCCGGCAGAACTGCAGATTTTTTTCTCTTGATGTAATCTCTTAATTCTGCTCCCAGTTAGCCAGGCTGTACCCCAACATGAACTTGGAGCTCCAGGGAGCAGTGGCCTCTGCCCCGCTCCTACACTTCAGCCCCGGGAATCTGTCCTTGGTCCCCCGCATGGAGATAGATGGCTTCGTGCTCCTGCCGGACTCCGTCAGGGAGCCTGTCTTCCGGCTCAGTGTGGTAAGTTTCAGAACCCTTGCAGGTGCTGTTTTCTTTCCCCACATGCCTTGCTCACCACCTGGCTAGTTCCTTCCGGTCTCAGCCTAAACGTCACTTCCCAGAGAGGCCTTCACACCTTCCCATTTTTTTCTCATAGCGTTGACTACAAAGGCCCTTACGTGGCTCTTTGCAGATTTGTTGGATGTATCTCCCACTCCATGAGTCTCGGTTGTCATGGGGAGGAAGGTAGATGGGTGTTGGCACTGTCTGCTCTGCTCTGCATCTTAGCTGATCCCTAAGACTACACTCCCCAGGCTTTCTTGCTGTCTGATGTCCACCTAGTCAGCTAGTAAGAGGCATGTGAGGAGAATGGAGGATGGGAGTAAGGATGATGCCCAGATTATTTTTCCTCTCTTTGCCATGGGCAGAGGCTCCAGCAGTGACTCTCTCTCCTCCATGGTGGCTCCCAGGACCCCAGCTCCACTCTCTGGGCCTCCAGGTCTGGGGTGGGTGCAGCTTCTGTCTCTGCTAAGCTCTGAGTGACCTCACCAACTCTTTTTGGCTTCTCAGCAATTCCATCCCTTGTATAACCAATCTCCTATGTTAAATTCCCTTTGCGTTAAGTATTGAGAGTGGATTTTTCTTTCTTGATGGACCCCGTCTGATAGAAAAGGAATTTTGAGTCCTTAGGGGCCCTACTCACTGGGTGAGGAACTTTGCTCTCTTGTTTTTTGACTTTTGAAACTCAGCAAGTCAACTCTCTGGAAGGGTCATTCCTCTTAGATGCCATGTTGGTAAATTGATATTGTTGTTATTGTTGTCAAAATCGTTATTAATATATTTAAATTAAATATAATTTATTATTACTAGGGCAGAATCATGGCCCTGAGATAACTAGAAATGATCTCCCCCAACTTTTTTTTTTTTTTTTTTTGAGATAGAGTCTTGCTCTGTAGCCCAGGCTAGAGTGCAGTGGCATGATCATAGCTCACTGTAGCCTTGACTTCCTGGGGTCAGGCAATCCTTCTGCCTCAGTCTTCTGAGTAGCTGGGACTATAGGCACACATCGCCATACCCAGATAATTTTTTATATTTTTTTAGAGACAAGGTTTACTATGTTGCCCAGGCAGGCCTCAGACTTCTGGGCTTAAGTGATCCTCCCTTACAGGCGTGAATCACTGTGCCCAGTCCAGAAATTATTATTTTTAGAGCTCTCCAGGGACAGATACTCTATACCTTCTGTTAGTAATCTGTTCAAAATGTAACTGCTGTCATAGTCAGCAATTTCAAGTAAAAATGTTCAAGTCCAAGTTCCAACATTTATTGAGCACCTACAATGAGCCTTCTGGGAGCCTATAATCTAACTAGTGGGCAAGTTTCCTGCTTTAGCTCGCCAAGTTGTTTATTGAGAGGAGACAACCTGTCCTCTGCGTCGTCCCTCCTATACATGACAACCTTCAACCTCAGAGCTGTTTACTTTCAGGTCACAAATGTGTCTGCCACATTGACCTTCAACACCAGCAAGATCACGGGGTTCCTGAAGCCAGGAAAGTAAGTCAGCCTCCTGCCCACACAGGGGTGCTCAGCTGGGCTCTATTTCCTGTCAATATTGGGGCCATCACTTGGGAAGGACACATTTCACCCAATTGACTCATTGGTCCTGCCCCACAAATGTCAGATTTCTTTTTCTTTCTTTCTTTCTTTCTTTCTTTCTTTCTTTCTTTCTTTCTTTCTTTCTTTCTTTCTTTCTTTCTTTCTTTCTCTCTCTCTCTCTCTCTCTCTCTCTCTCTCTCTCTCTCTCTCTCTCTCTTTCTTTCTTTCTTTCTTTCTTTCGAGTTGGAGTGTCACTCTGCTGCCCAGGGTGGGGTGCAGTGGCACTCTCACAGCCACCACAGCCTTGACCTGCTGGGCTCAGGCGATCCTTCCACCTCAGCCTTTCAAGTAGCTGGAACTACAGGCATGCACCACGACACCCAGCTAATTTTTTTATTTATTGTAGAGACGAGGTCTCACCATGTTGCCCAGGCTGGTCTTGAATCCCTGGACTTAGGCAATCCTCTCGCCTCGGCCTCCCAAAGTGCTGGGATTACAGGTTTGACCGACTGCACCTGGCCAAATGTCAGATTTCTAAAGAATTTATTAATGCTGTTTTTTTCTAACCTATGCATTTCAGATATCAGCTATATTAGCTTCCTGAAATAAGAAGACTGAGCACTTAGCACTACCCGTCCTCTGACAGTCTTCCCAGTACCGTTATTTCATTGCTGTCAGTTACACAATCATCATTTTCACCACCACCCTCGCCCCATCCTTGGCCCTGTGTCTTCTCAACCAAGTCCTCCTCCATTCTGGGGACCCTGCATTGTTTGGACTTCCATGGGTGTAATGCTGAATATTCTCTAATTCATTGTAGGGTACAGGTGGAACTGAAAGAGTCCAAAGTCGGAGTATTCAATGTAAGTTATTGCTGTTCTCATTTATGACATGATTCGAATATTAATTAATTTAGAGTGTTTGCTGAGCAACTGCTGTAATAGGAAATATAAAAGGAAAAAAACTGATCTCTGCCTGAGGGAACTGCAGAAGCTCTCAAGAACACAAAATATAGTGCCAAGGAATAGTTATAGCCTAATATATGACAGCATATACAGTCATTAAATAATCTATTAGAATTATTTAAACTGTAGAGAACAGAAAGCCAACTCAAAATGTCCTATGCAAAGAAAAGGAACATATAGATTGTATAACTGAAAAGAAAAAGCAATGAAAAAACTAAGACGGAAGGTTTCAGGCAAAGCTGTATCCCGGGGTTCAAATTAGTGCTTCAAGAATATCTCTCCATCTCTCTGTTCTACTTTCATCTGTATTGGTTTCATTCTCAGGCAGGCTTTTCTGATTGGTGGCAAACCCCAGAGTTTTCTATAGTTTCATTTTTTAAAAGTCCACCGAAACCAAAAAACAAAAACCCTGTGCTGTCATTGGACTAACCTTAGTCAGGTGCCCATTCTTAAGCCAATCGCTGTGGCCAGAAGTTGGGCAAGACCAACCAGCCAGGCCTAAATCCTGTCTACACTCCTGGAACCTGGGTTTGCAGTCAACAACAGCCAAACCACGTGGACTAAGACTGAAGAGGATGGTTTCCTGGGGGAGTTAGAGACTTATTGAAACAGGAGGACTTGAAAGCTAGGCAGGCAAGACCAGGAACGATTTCCACAAGGAGGAAAATGTGAAGTCAGTGTCCCCAGGCAAAAGAGGAGCGAAAAGGGGAAGATCAGTGTGGGCTGAAGTGCTGGAGAAGAACTTTCCAGAAAGAGGGAGGAGGAGCTGGACAGACTTTCACCTGTGGGAGTTGTCTTCCTCTTGCAACCCACGACACTGACCTCCCCAGTCACCTCCGCCCTGCCCTGCCTCCCAGCCTTTCCCTAAGTACTTGTGAAGTGGAGACAAGCACACAGACTGTGGGGAAAATGCCAGTTCCAGGGCCCCCGAGGATGACTCCCTGCAGAGAATCAAGGGTGACATGAATGATGACACACTCATATAGTATCTGGGCATGGCAGGTAACAACGGTCTAGAAAGTAAAACATGCCAATGTAAAGTTTCACCAAAAAAGTCAGCCTATCAAGTTTCCATAACATGAAGTGTAAAAAGCAAGAACTGTGGGCTCAGACACAGTTAAATTCAAATCCTGACTCTTTCATACTGAGGGCCTCCGTTTCCTTGAATGTGGAATTAGGACATTAACATGAACTTTGTAGCATTATTGTGAGGATTGAAGCAGAAACACATGTAGACTGAGCCTGACATACAATGGGTATTAAAAGTCGTTTCATGATTTTTGTAGGAAAGCCCATTTTGTTTTTACTTAATTTTTAAAAATTATACAAGTAGTTCAGAAAAACCTTCTCACTATAAAAAAAATAAATACTAAAGATAGGGCTAAGGACTAAGTCAACCTTGATTTTTTTTCCTAGAAGAAAAACAGCTGGACTTGTATCCTTCCAAAACTTTCTGTTCATTTCCAGTCACTTCCATACTAAATGTGCATCTCAAAATAGTTTTATCTTATGATGCAGGCATCTGTCTGCAATTTGCTTTTTTCAAGACTTTCACCATGTCAGCACACACAGAAGCACCCCCACCCCACCCCTAGGGTGATCTGTGTGGCCCATGGCCCCCGGGGTCTCCATGTACCTCTCCTGTTCTCCGCCAGGTGGAGATGTTAGAAGCAGTCCTCAACTACTACATTCTCAGCAGCCTGTACCCCAGGGTCAATGGTAAGAACCCCCATGGGTTTTCCCAAGTCAAAAATGGACACTGCTCTCTGGGGGCAAGAGAGTTGAACTTGGAATGTGGACACAGTGCTCTCCTGGGGCTGTGTGATCATGGCAAGTTCTCTCTAAGCTTTAGTGACCTTTTTGTGAAATGGGATCATTGAGTTGGTATCTACTCCCTCCAGGGGAGCTGGGACACCTGTTTGGAGCAGGGACAGCCTCCTGATGAGGGAGAAGGAGGGACTCACAGAAGTGCCTCCATGTCCTGAATCGGCAGGTAAAAGACTGAGGACTTAGGGCAGCCACCTCCGAATTCACATTTCCCAGTCAACTGCCCAATGGCCTCATCAGAAAACACAACACAAGGCCTAGACCTTGTTTCTGGGAGGTGTTGCTTCTTGTGGCTGCATCAGAGAGCAAGACAGAGTGCGCAGCAGGGTGTAGGTGCCCCATTCCTTTCTTATCACGAGTGTGCAGCATGTCCCTACCACTTCCTCCACATTGCACCATGCCTGATGGCTTAGGCCGCTGAGCCAGTCTTCCTGGGTTCAAATCCCAGTCCTGCCACTTCCTAGCTGTGTGACCTAGGACAAGTTACTTAGTCACTCTGTGCCTCCATTTCCTTATCTGTTAAATGGGGATAGTAATCATATCTATCTCATAGTCTTTGGTGATCATCAAGTGGTAATAAGTTTGCAGAGAACAATTCTTTGATTAAAAAAATTATCTATAGCTGTTATTTATTAACAAATCTGTCTCAATGCTATGTCTCAACTCCCAGATAAGTTGGCCCAAGGCTTCCCTCTCCCTCTGCTGAAGCGTATTCGGCTCTATGACCTTGGTCTTCAGATCCATAAGGTCAGTGGGTTCAGGGGGCTCTCAGGACTGGGGGGTGGGGGTGGTTTGCTTGACAGGTCTAGAGGCCACAACTCAAGGGTCGGACCCGCCCAGCCCTGCCACTGGGGAAGCCTGGCTGGAGCAGGATGCTCTGGGTGTGGCTATGTGCCACGAAGCCATCCTGGTGTCCTTCAGGAGGCATTTGGCCCAGCCCTGTGTCACCACTGGCCCCCTCCCCACCATGGGGGCCCTGAGGAACCTCCAGACCAGCTCGTTTTGAAAATACTTGTCAATAGGTCAGGTTCTGAAAGCCATTTGTAAGTTTTAATTTTTTCTTCTAAATGTGTAAGTACAACAGCTTTATTATATGTCTATGTTTGATGTCCCTCCCCATTTTTTTTTTTTTTGAGTTGGAGTCTCACTCTGTCACCCAGACTAGAGTGCAGTGGCCACTCCCAGCCACCGCAGCCTCTACCTGCTGGGATCCGGCGATCCCTCCGCCTCAGCCTTCCAAGTAGCTGGAACTACAGGCGTGCGCTACCACACCTGGCTAGTTTTTGATTTATTGTACAGACGAGGTCTCGCCAAGTTGCCCGGGTGGGTCTCAAACCCGCTGGCTCAGGCAATCCACTCACCTCGGCCTCCCAAAGCGCGGGATTACAGGCTGAGCCACCGAGCCCAGCTGTTCCTCCCCATTTTAAGCAAGTACCACAGTCATGTATACATTTCCAAAAATTATTCATAAACCCATTGCTCCACCACAACCACACTTTAAATGTTGGTGTGCTTCCTTCCAATGCTTTTTTTTTTTTAATTTTAAGGTTTTTAAAACCTTTTGTTTGTTTTGGACAGTTAAATTGCTAGTGCTCATACCTGTTTCTCCCTCCCTCCCTCCTTTTTATTTTTTTCTCACTCTGTCACCCAGGCTGGAGTGCAGTGACATGCTCACGGCCACCGCAGCCTCAACCTTCCGGGCTCTGGTGATCCCTCCGCCTCGGCCTTCCAAGTAGCTGGAACTATAGGCGTGCGCTACCACACCCGGCTTATTTTTTTATTTATTGTGGAGATGAGATCTCACCAAGTTGCCCAGGCTGGTCTCAAATCCCCGAGCTCAAGCAATGCTCTCGCTTCAGCCTCCCAAAGTGCAGGGATTGTAGGCTTGAGCCACTATGCCCAGCCCCTTCCTTCCTTTTTAAATTAAACTCCGCAGCACCCCTTCAGCATGTTCCCTTGTTGCAACCTAGTTTCTCCTCCCGACATTAAATGGCTGTGTACAGTCCATCTAGTGGATCAATGATAATTTACTTAAAGATTTTAATACCAGGACACATGTCTGATTTACATGCTTTAATTACTATTCTGCTCAAGCATTCTGCGGTCCATCTGGGTCCCACGTTTCAGGTTCTCTTTCGAGGTGATGTGACTGGGTTAGCAGACTCCAGAGATTGAGAGGACTGCTGTGTGGTACCTGGTACATGGTCAACATCCAGGACATAGTAGCTATTACATTGTAGCTATTACAGGGAACCAAAGGCTGTGGGTGGTTAGGAACATAGAAACACCAAGCAACTGTTACATTTAAAAAACAAATCTCCAAAGCCTTTTGGGGCCGGAAACACTCAACACTTAACTACTATTAAGTGTTTACATGTGGAGTCAGACAGATCATTGTTCAAAGCAAAGACTGAGTGACAATAAACACAGTTGGCCTCAAATTTCTCCTCTATAAAATGGGGTGTGACCAAACTTTACTTCGTGTTTGTGAAGATTAGAGGTCAAGTATGATAGCTTCTAGCTCAATGTTTGATGTGTGGAAAGTGATTAGAAGATTTATTGTTATATTATCATATTCACTAGAATTTTGAGGTCAACTCTGTCCATTTGTCCGACCACCAAAGGCAGGGATAGATCTCTGTGGGAAAGAATTGAACTTGGCCTTGAGTTCGAGGTGTCAGAAACATAAGACGAGCAAGAGCGTATATCCCAGCAGCTCACAATGTTGCGTCACTTGCCAAGGAGTGAAAATTTAGGTGACACAAAGGACATTTAGAGGCCTGCCAGGAAGCAGCAGCTTGGGAAATGACAGATCACTACCTTGGAGAAGGCAACTGGCAAAAGCTGTGCTTTATGGAGACCTTGGGGACCAAGGCGCAATCGCGATTTATGCACCGCCCTGGATTCTGGCAGAGCTTGCATTTCCCAGGGTGTGGGCTTCCCTTAAATCACAGAGGTATCTTTCTGGAGTCGAGGATGCTTTTTTCCATCCTTCCTGTTCTGTTTCTCCTAGGACTTTCTGTTCTTGGGCGCCAATGTCCAGTACATGAGAGACTGAGGATAAGAAGGAAGAGGGAGGCCACAGTTGGATCTGCATTCCAGATGTGCGGCACATCTCTGGAGAGGTTCAGAGGATGAAGACATCTCTGCTCTCTGCTCTGGGGTCTGCCTGACCTCTGTCCTCCACCTTCCTCCTCTTCACCAGTGTGCCCATGCCCTCTCTGACCCCGGATCTTACCTTCTCCTCCAGGAAGGGCCACCTTTCCGCACTGGTTTGAGATATTTTTAAGAGCAGGCACTGGATGTTTTATTTGCTGTCTGATCCCCATGCCTAGCAGACTGCTGGCAGTTAGTAGGTCCTCAATAAATATTTATTGAATGGTGCGATGAAGAAATCACTTGGCTTTCTGGCTGAACCTCCTCACTGCCCACCCTCTTCTGGCCCCAGGGGTCTCTGGATGGTCAGCCCCACTTGTAGTCTCCAAGGCCCATCGCTGCTATAGGAACCTCCGGGAGAACAGGGATCCTGCACACTGATCAGACCGAGACCTGACACTGACGTTCTGTCTCTCGGTCCCCTGTCCTGGCTGGCAGAGGCTCACCTCATCGTCACTCCTGCCCCACTCCTTGCCTGTTGCAGACAGGGGAGCCAGTGAGTCTCCCAGAACAGAGGCTCAGCCTCCTGCGGTTTTCCCCACTGAAGCAGGTGTAAATCAGGAGGAAATGGATCTGTCTAGGTTTTGGGTCCCACCCAAATATAAACTCATCCAACTGTTGTTGATGAGCGCAAGCCTGGAGGGAGAGGCCATGATTTCTAATTACTGAACAATGAGCCTTTGATCAGACTTAATAAAGAGTCATTTCCAAGTTATGTAGTTGGACTCCCGGGGACTGGGAGTCAGAAGGCTTGTCTGATTTTTTTTTTTATTGTGTTAATGAGCAGATGGATGGAGCTGCCGGCTAACAGATAATTCACAGGGAATAGACCCATTTACCCTGTGTGTGACAGAGATGTGTCCCAAGATGGGACGATGCATTGTCACCCAGCTGGCGGTGGTAAGCCATGGCTTTGTATCCTCCTGCCTCTCTGCCACCATCACCCACCCCATGGGAGACTGGAGAAGGGCTCAGGCTCCATCTAGCACTAGCCATGTGGTCATGGGCAGGTCATTTTCCCCCTCAGGTCCTTGTCTACAAAATGAGGATGATAACAGAGTGACTTCTGGGGCTGGCAGGGTGACAAGGGACTCAATGGGTTCGTGTCAAGCTTCTGTGGGTGCCCAAGGCATAACCAGGTTCTGGTAAATGACTGCAATGATGATCACCTCTTTTACTTTCATCTGAAACAAGGAGATCAGTAAAAGTAGTTTATTTGGAGGAAGACTCCAGGAAGTGCCAGTAGAGAGTGGAAAACGAGATGCAGAAGAGATGGCAGCCCATGGTATATGTGATCAAACCTGCACCACCATAGGTGACTGAAGCCTAATCCCCCTAGGGAAACTCTGAAAGTCTATGTGAGACCCATCTCAGCACATCCTGCCCAAGGGCCAAGAATTTGCATACCATCCCCATCAGTCATTGGTTGAAGGGGGCTCCTGGCATTCTCTGGCTCTTCTAGTCTGGGGAGTGGGTGAACTCTAAAAACCATAATGATCTCTCAGGCAAAGAAATGCAAACACCGGTGGTTAAAAATCAAACTGATGTGCATTAATTTAATGGGGCAATGCTGGGGTACAGGTGGGGCACTGACTTGGTCTACACAGACCTACCATGGGGTAGGAGGCCACCAGCTCTAAACTCTGGGTGCGCAATGAAACTGTTTGCCACATCTCTTGGGAAAGTCATGAGTTGTTTTCCTCTGGATTTTTAATTTTGAAGAAACTCAGCCTAGTTTGCAAGAAAGCTTGCATTCCAGAACATTCTAGGGCTCTAGGACATTCCAGGGCATTCCAAGGGATAGCTCCAAGAAAAGGCTCAGGGAAGCCCGTTCAGGCAAGTCCTTGACAGGTATGGGCCAACATGGTTTGCTAGTCATCATCTTCAGCAGAATCCTGTCATCTCTTGACCGTCCTGCTTTCCCCATCCCCAGCTCTGGGCCTCAGCTCAGGGGAGAGAATTCTTAGAGGAGAAGGCAGGCTATGGCCAGCTGGGGTCTTCTTCCACTGCCAAAACTATGGCTCTGTCTGAATAGCCTTAGCAGCAGCAACAGCCTAGAAAATAGAATCCATGATATTTCTGATGAAACTCTAAGTTAAGGGCTTGGAACCCATTCAGTCTCAAGATACACATTTCTTCTTTCTAAGGAGCCCAAGGTGTAGCTTAGGAGAAAAGACACCAGCACATCAGGGTAGTCAGTATTGTACTGTCAGTGTAGGTAACAGGGAGAAGTCTCAGCAATGGAGGTAACAAGGTCAGCATCAGTCACAGGTCTGAGTAGGTGGAATGATGGAAGCTGCTGGGTATAACATCAATTGTCAGGTAAGAGTGGAATCAAGAAGTTTGCATGTGTGGGAAGGGGAGGAGAAGAAAATAAAGTCAATGAACCGGGCCCCAGAAATCAGGACCATCAGGCAGGGGCTGATACAACCAATGCACTTGATTTTCTTCACTGGAAAGATCCAGAAGATAGTTTCCTATTAGTGCTTTCATTTTTTAAAATGTAAAACAGTTACATAATGTTCCACATTTGTGGATGTACAAGAGAACTTCCTCAGTCTTATTCAAGGACACGGAGATCTCCTGGAGGAATATACCACAATTTATTTAACCAGTCTTTACTGATGGGTTCTCAGTTGTTTTCAAACTTTAGTTTTTATAATGTTTCAATGAATAGCCGTATCTCTACACCAATTCCTATGTGTGCAGGTACATCATAGAACAAATGTCCAGAAATCAAATCCGGCAACCTAGACTCTTTGGTTAATTTAACAGTTGGGTATTTGCTGACAGTTGGGTATCTACTCTTTCCACACCCTCCTTTTCTCCTGAGGAGGTGCCTGAATGTATAGGGAAGGGATTCATGTGGCTTCATGGCAGTGGAGTGGAGGGGTGTGCAGTGAAGCATTTAACCTTGCTCCAGAAAGATCTGGCCTTTGTCCCTGAAGCTGGAAGGTAATCTCTAAGCTCTTGGACTGTCTTGCCTGACAAGATGTCTTTGTTTACCTGGGGGCATTGGACCATGCTAGATAGTTCAACAGTGGGAGTCATGGTGGGGGCTTTTGGTCACATTTCATCAGTTTAAACTCTGAAAGTGCTGAAGACTGAGCCCAGCCAGGTGGGCAGCCAACCGGGTTGGCATAATTAAGCCCCACTAAAGACTTCAGACACCAAGACTTGGGTGAGTGTCCCTGGCTGGCAATACTCCATATGTATTGTCACACATCAATGCTAGAAAAGTAATGCTTTCCACAGCCCCATGGGGAGAGGGCAACTGGAAGATGGAACTTCCCTGGACTCTGCCTTATGTGCCTCTTGCACTGGCTGCTTTTAATTTGTATCCTTTTGCTGTAATAAACTATAAGCATAACAGCTTTAAGTGAGTTCTGCAAGTCCTTCCAGAAAATTATTGAACTTAAACGTGGTCTTGTGAGCCCCAAAATGAAAACCAGTGTCAGAAGTGAGAGTGGTCTTGTGGATGGTGCACCTCTAACTTTGCAAGGGGTCTTCTTAGCTCCTTCATTCACCAGACATGCTGCTGGCCTCAAATGCCACCTGAGCATGAGGCCTGGGGGTCCCCACTTCAGCCCTGTTCACTGTGACCTGGTTAGGGCCTGGGGGTCCCCACCTCCTGCCCCCAGATGCCTCATCCTCAGCCATGCTCTTGTAAGTGCTACAAGCCCTGTAATAGTCAGGCTTCCTAACTGTAAACTTCAGTGTCTACTCTGGTTAGTATAAGCAGAAAGGAGGTTTGTGAAATGACACTAGACTGTGCTCAAATGGTTGGGGGGATAGAGACACAGACTTGCCATTGAGCTTCCAAACTGGTCGTAGGCTCTAATCAGATACAGACCACACCGGGACACAAAAGCTTGCTTTTTCATTAGCCCCATTGATTTTTTTTTAAGTATTCTAACATATGCCAGGATCAACATGTATTTATAAGCTTCCTTTGCCATAGTCATTTAAGATTGTACACATATTCAATTATCTGCTCATGAAACACCTCCTAGGCTAGTGTTTCTCAAACGTCAATGTGTCTAAGAATCCCCTGAGTATCTTATTAAAATGCAGACTCTGATGCAGTAGGTCTGAACTGGGCTGAGAATCTGTGTTTCTAACCATCTCTCAGGTGATGCCAGTGCTGCTAGCTCTTGGACCACACTTGAGTAGGAAGGTAAGGTGAACTTTCTCACTGCAATGTAACCCTCTAGAACAGTGCCAGGCTCATGGTAGGTGCACAGTAGTTATCTGTCATATAAATGGCTTTGGTCACAGGTCAGACTTGGTCCCATTTCCCCGCTCCATCCAGCACTGGGGGAGTTGTTGGTGCCCAGCATCCCCAGTGGTCTGGAGCCCAGAAGGGAAAGCTGAAGATTTCTCAAAAGTAGAAATGTAGTAATTCAATCACCTTGTTTAGATTAAGTGGCCAGTTTTTGCAGCGTTGCTGGATCAGAGGCTCAGTGAAAAACCTCCTTGTAGAGAAAAGACACAAATCTCCCAACCAGAAGAATTCTAAGTAATGTATGTAAATATGGCTCCTCAAGGAAGGGACGTACAACTCCCTCTTCCTTAAGCGTGGGCTGTGCCTAATAACTTGTTTTCAAAGAGTATAGTAGGAAGAGGGGAAGTAAATTTATGGTGGAGAAACCTGACTACGTTAGACAGGTGGTCAAGGTTAACATCCTCAGTGATAAGTCATATTGATAGTAGGTGTCTTTGTGCTGCTCTTACAAACTTCCAGAGACTAGGGAACTTGCACAACAAACATTTGTTTCTCACAGTTCCGGAGGCTGGAAGTCTGAGACCAGGATGCCACCACAGCAGGGCTCTGGTGAGGGCTCTCTTCTGAGCTGCAGGTTGCTGACTTCCAGCTGTATCCTTGCACAGTGGAGAGAGGGAGAAGTAAGCAAGCTCTCCTATGTCCCATCTTATAAGGGCACTAATCCCATTCATGAGGGCTCCACTCTCATGTTCTAACTACCTTCCACAGGCCCCACCTCCCAATTCCATCATCCTGGGATTTAGATTTCAACATATGAATTTCAGGGGGTTACAAACACTCAGCCCCTACCCGTAGGTATGATATGGTGAGATGAGAATGACACTCTGTGGTCTTCCTCTAACCAATAACGGAAAACATCGAACCCTCCATAGAGTGACATTCTACAAAAGGATCTGGCCAATTCTCTTCAAAACTGTCAAGATCATCAAAAGCTAAGACAGTGTAAGGAACTGGCAC